TTTTTCTGAGACGGAGTCTTGCTCTGTTACCCAGGCTGGAGTACAATTGCAGCTTACTGCAACCTCCACCACCCGGGTTCAAGCAAGTCTCATGTCTCAGCCTCCCATGTAGCTGGGATTACAGGCACCCCCCACCACACCAGGCTGTTTTTGTTTTGTTTTGTTTTGTTTATTTTTGAGACAAGAGTCTTGCTCTGTTGCCCAGGCTGGAGTGCAGTGGTGTGATCTCGGCTCACTGCAAGCTCCGCCTCCCAGGTTCACGCCATTCTCATGCCTCAGCCTCCCATGTAGCTGGGACTACAGGCACCAGCTACCATGCCCGGCTAATTTTTTTGTATTTTTTTAGTAGAGACGGGGTTTCACCATGTTAGCCAGGATGGTCTCAATCTCCTGACCTTGTGATCCACCCGCCTCAGCCTCCCAAAGTGTTGGGATTACAGGCGTGAGCCACAGCACCTGGCCCTGGCTCAGTTTTGTATTTTTAGTAGAGACGGGGTTTCGCCACATTGGCTAGGCTGGTCTCGAACTCCTGACCTGAAGTGACCCTCCTGCCTCAGCCTCCCAAAGTGCTGGGATTACAGGCATGAGCCACTGTGCCTGGCCTAGAACCCAAGACTTGGGTATGGGAGAAAATAAGAATCCATTCATGGATTTCCTAGAGAGATAATGTGCTTTCAGGAAAACAAAAACAAAAACAAAAACAAACCCCAAGAAACATGGAGTCTTTCTGGCTTCCGTAGCCCAGGAACATGTGTGACACCTTGGCAAGTCAGTAACCTCGAGTATCCACTGTCTCCTCTGTAAAATGGAGCCTGCCTTAGAGCACCTTGAGGACTTCCTATCACCTCTATGGTCCCCCAGGATATAGGGAGAATGAAATGAATATGGGTCAAGCCACTAACACCTAATGCAAAACCTTGTGGCTACTTTACCTCCACCTCATGGATTCATTGTGCAATGAGGTTGTCATGAAAAACCACCTGAGATAAACTGCTCTTGAGTAAAAATTTTTTCACTGCTGCTTCACTGGAATTCATTAAGCTGGAGCAGGGAGGGAAAGGTGATACAGGTTACAGATGGCTGAGGCCAGGTCCAGAGCAGATTTGACAGGGTCCCGGGGGAGTGGCTGAGGCTTCCCCAGGTATCTTAGGACAAGTGCAGCTCTGTCACAATTTTCAAAGGAGCAAGGGAGTAACCACAGTTTCTTCTTGCGGAAAGACATGCTAAAGGGGTGTTTCATGGACACTCAGAAGAAAAGCAATTCTGCGGATGTAAAAGGACCCAGTGCAATCCACAAGAGAAGGGTTATCAGGAACTCAGAACCATCTTCAGAAGCAGTCATCTTTTTTTGTTTTTTGAGATGGCATTTCATTCTGTCTCCCACGCTGGAATGCAGTAACACAATCTCGGCTCACTGCAACCTCCACCTCCCTGTTCAAGCAATTCTCCTGCCTCAGCCTCCCGAGTAGCTAGCATTTACAGGCATGCGCCACCACACCTAGCTAATTTTTGTATTTTTAGTAGAGACGGGGTTTCACCATGTTGGCCAGGCTGGTCTCTAACTCCTGACCTCAAGAGATATGCCTGCCTTGGCCTTCCAAAGTGGTGGGATTACATGCATGAGAGCCACCATGCCTGTCCAGCCAAAAGCAGTCATCTTGATGATCCTTAAGGATGAAATGGGAGAGAAGGGTCTTAGAGGGAAGGAGTAAAAGTTGTAGGGTAGGGTTTGGAGGATGAATTTGAGAGGTGTTTAGCTTGGGAGGCACTTGCCCTAGACCCTATGCCTAAAGAGGATCTGGGAGGCGGGGGTTTGGAGGCGTATAAACCAGAGCAGGGAGAAATAAAAGTGAGGAGTTTGGACAGATGTTAGGCTGGTTAATAGGCGAATTCTGGAAGAAGGTTTGGGGAAAGTTTAGAAAAGTGAGGGAGGTGTAGGGTGGACAGGGGTTTTAGGAGACTCTGAAAGGTGAAAGGTGAAAGATGGGGTGGGGTGGGGTAGAATGGAGCCAGGTACTCCGGGTGAAAATATAACAATCTGGTCAAAATGAGGAAATGGCGAAGAGTGGATATACTTCTAGGCACTGCATTTTCACTTTTTGATAATCTGGTTACACCATGAAGTAGTCTTATAAACATATACCTTTAAATGGTTTTGCCCATTTAAAAATAATTCTTCAGGATCAGGCACGGTGGCTCAGGCCTATAATCCCAGCACTTTGGGAGGCCAAGGTGGGCAGATGACTTGAGGTCAGGAGTTCAAGACCAGCCTGGCCAACATGGTGAAACCCCATCTCTACTAAAAATACAAAAATTAGCCCGGTGTAGTGGTGAGCACCTGTAATCCCAGCTACTTCAGGAGGCTGAAGCAGGAGAATCACTGGAACCCAGAAGGCACAGGTTGCAGTGAGCCAAGATTGTGCCACTGCACTCCAGCCTGGGCAACAGAGCTAGACTCTGTCTCAAAAAAAAAAAAAAAAAAAAAGTTCATATTTTATTTCTAAAATGTAGAAACAAAATGTACAATATGGAAGCAAATTTTGGTATGTCATAAAATAAAATACATGTAATTGTGTATGAAACAGATGGGTGGTATATTAGATGGGAGAAAAAAGCAGGTTACTAAAAAGTGAACTTTTGTGATGTATCGTTTTTTAAGTATAAGCATCTTGTAACACATATATATGTGAATGGATTCTGATCAAAATACACCAAAATGTTAACAGTGATTGTCTCTAGCCACTCATGCTGCTTGTCTGTCTTGTCTTTTCTCTTTTATTTCTTTGAGACGGGATCTCACTCTGTGGCCCAGGTTGGAGAGTAGTGGCACAATCTTAGCTCACTGCAATCTCCACCTCCCAGGCTCAAGCGACTCTCCCACCTCAGACTCCTGAGTAACTGGGACCACAGGTGAGCCACGACGCCCAGCTAATTTTTTGTATTTTTTGTAGAGATGGGGTTTCACCCTGTTGCCCAGGCTGGTCTCAAACTCCTGAGCTCAGGTGATACAACCGCCTCAGCCTCTCAAAGTGAAGTGGTGGGTTTACAGGCGTGAGCCACAATGCCTGTCCTTACTTTTCTGTAAGTGTACACTACTTTTATAATTAGGTCAAAAAAGACAACTGTAGAAGAATAAAAAATATTGAAGGACTAGTTTTTCTAATTCATTTTCAGCCTATTTGGAACTGGAGTGTTGTGAATGTTTTTCTATTTACAAACTAGTATTAACAACCCAACTTCCCAATCTGTCATTTACATTTTTCTGACCTCTATGCATAGCCTAGGTATGACGTGATGGAAAAGGCTGGTTTAGAGATCAAGATGCTCCAACACAAAAGTCTCCCAAATCCTGAGGGGTTTTTGTTTTAAAAAAACAATCATTAAAACATTTAAAGACACATAAAACTACACCCACTCAGTGGCGCAACAAATTTACCAATACTAGAAGGGGAGGAGGCTGGCAACTCCTGGAAATACTCTCTTTCAAGTAATAAATAATGGTCATTTTGAACCAAATTGCTTTCTACCTCAAGTCCTCCATGGATGGGAGCCTGGAGGATGCAGTGATGGGGGTTGTGGAATGGAAAGGAGCATGGGTAACTAGGTTTGTGAGGATCAGGGCCAGGCAGAGGGAACTGTGGGCTTTTCCAGGATCACTGGGGAACACAGAGGCTGAGGAGTGTGGGTCGGGTTCGAGCTTGGGAGGACCTCGGCCTCTCCAGGCTCTAAGGAGAGTCAGGGCTCACCACCTAGGGCGCTGGGACCACACGACGGATGTCATGCCTGGGAGATTGAACGGCCGGAACTGATTCTGAGAAAATGTGGATGGGAGATGGGGATTCCGGGTTCTCCCGGGAGTCTGGGTGATGGAGTTCAGGCTTCAGGGAGTCCGAAGAGCTAGACTGGGAAGGGGCTGGTGCCCGGGGCTGGGAGAAATCCAGACTCCGCCGGAGTTGAAAAAGGGCCGGGGTCCGGCGGAGGGAGCGCGAGTCCTCTGAGAGTTCGGGCTCCCTTGCGGGTCCGAGAGTCTAACGAACGCTCCGGGCACCCAGGCCGCGCCCGAAGAGCACCAACAACTGCGCGGTCTGCGGCGCGAAAAGTAGATCTGCGGCTGAACCCCTACGCCGATTACTTAGCCGTGGCCCTATCGAGCGGGTGGTTCGAGCCCGAGGTGGCGCCGGTCCTGTAAATCGTGGAGGATCTCAGGTCCCCTGTGACCCAGGGCGTAGTCTGCTGTGTCATGGTGGCCTCCCTGTTCAAGAAACAGTTGGAAACTGGAGGTCGGTTGGGAACCATGCTTGTTGGGCGCGCGGAGGCCGGTTGGGAACCATGTTCGTTGGGCGCGCGGAGGCCGTTTGGGAGCCCTGTTCGTTGGGATCACGCAGACCTGGAATTAGTCCCTGGGCGGAGCCTGGAGCCGAGCGCGGCTGGTTGCCTGGGAGAAGCATAAGGGGGCGGGGGTGGGGGTGGGGGGGCGGGGGTGGGGGTGGGGGGGGCGGGGGGGGGGGGGGGGGGGGCGGGGGGGGGGGTGGGGGGGGCGGGGGTGGGGGGGGCGGGGAGAGGGTGTCGCACATGCGCACAGAGCCCGGGCGGCTACGGAAGGGGCGAGATTGTCCCTCGGCTGCAGCCGTGGTGCGACCCGGCCCGTTGCCGTAGAGATGGGCAGGGCTGGATGGAGTAGGGTGCGGTGAGCTGAGCTGACCCTGCTTCGCCACGGGGACTGCAGTGACCCCGGCTTGCCGGCAGGGCGGGTAACCAGTTGAGCCAGGGTGGGGCTGCTCAGGGGCGTGGAGCGGAGGCCAGGATTTCTCTGAAGACCCAGCACAAGCGATTCCTTTCTGCGACGAGACCATTGCTATGGAAACCAAAGCTCCAGGCCAGCGGAGATTGAGGATCCCGGGTCGTGACTGGTCTTTCGCCCGAAGAACCTCGCCTGAGGCTTCCGGAAGCGGCTACTTCCTGAACGAACCCGCCCACCCTCCTGAGGGAGAGAGGTAAGACCCTCGGGGTCTTGACACCACGCAGGCGAAGAAGCCTGTTCCAATGCCAGCTCCCCCAGGAAACCTACCCGGCCCACCCCTAGAAGTGGTGCCTCGCTCTCCTTAACTCTTGGACTTTGTTCCACGTTCATAACTTAGTATTTGACGAACGCCCCGTGATGTTTGTTCTTTTTTCCCACACATAATAGACCATAAAGATTGGCTTCCTTACTTTATGACTGAACAAGTCCTTTTCCCCGCTGTGTCTCAGCTTCCTCTTATGTAAAATGGAAATATTAAATCTAGACGCCGGTCTGATTAGGTTGCTTTGAAGATCGAACCGGATGAGGGAAGCCAAAGACTTCATAGGCTGTAAAGTGGTTAAACTGAACTGCTACCCAATTGCTATTTTTTTCTTCTCCTCTCTCCCCCTCAAGCTAAATATTCTTTAGATCTCTTGTGGTTTCTTCAGGCGGTCTTTGCGACTCCCTATGCTCCAACCTGGAAGAAATCTCTTTACACTTCCCTTTCACAGAGCCCTGCATTTTAACTTCCCTATCAGAAGCAAGAAAAATATTTATCATTTTTAAAGGGCTTACTCTATGCCAAGCCCTGATAAAACTCTACGTGGGTTATCTCATTTAATTTCACAACATCCTTGTAAGGTAGGTACTGTTATCCTATTTTCAAGCTCTGTCTGCCTGTAATTGCCTGTTTACTATCTGTTTCTCCCGCTAGACTTTGAGCTCTCTGAGAAAAGGGGCCGTGCCTGTCTTGTACATTTCAGTATCTCCAACACCTAATACAGTGCCTGATAGATATTTCTTTTCTTTTCTTTTCTTTTCTTTTTTCTTTTCTTTTTTTTTTTTTTTTTTGAGACGGAGTCTCGCTCTGTCGCCCAGGCTGGAGTGCAGTGGCCGGATCTCAGCTCACTGCAAGCTCCGCCTCCCGGGTTTACGCCATTCTCCTGCCTCAGCCTCCCGAGTAGCTGGGACTACAGGCGCCCACCACCTCGCCCAGCTAGTTTTTTGTATTTTTTTTAGTAGAGGCAGGGTTGCACCGTGTTAGCCAGGATGGTCTCGATATCCTGACCTCGTGATCCACCCGTCTCGGCCTCCCAAAGTGCTGGGATTACAAGCTTGAGCCACCGCGCCCGACCTCTTTTTCTTTTTTTTTAGATATAGTCTCACACTGTCACCCAGGCTGTAGTGCAGTGGCGGGATCTTGGCTCGCTGCAACCTCTACCTCCCGGGTTCAAGCAGTTCTCCTGTCTCAGCCACCTGAGTAGCTGGAACTACAGGCCTATGCCACCACGCCTGGCTAATTTTTGTATTTTTAGGAGAGACGAGGTTTCACCATGTTGGTCAGGCTGGTCTTGAACTCCTGACCTCTGCCTGCCTCAGCCTCCCGAAGTGCTGGGATTATAGGCATGAGCCACCATGCCCAGCCCTGATAGATACTTCTTTACTAGCATGAAAATGACTCCCCCTATCACTGCCCTCACCCACAAGAGCATTGTCACTTCTGCAAACTTTTAGTTGCTGTGATGAACAGCACATTCCTGTATTCCCGTTACCCACTGGGCACTGGTTTGGGGGGACGTCAGTTCACTTCTCTCTGGATTTTCTGATGAGGATCCAGAATATTCCTTAGCATTTAGGCTTCCATCTGGGTTCAGGAGGCTTTTTCTTTGCCCTTCATATCACCTTTATAACAAGCCAGCCCTCTCTGTCCTTCCTGGGATGAGTCTGATGCATTTGAGTCTAGGGCATTGGCAGGTAGAATTTGCCTATACAACCTTTAGTCTTTCTCTTTGGTAGCCTCAGAACCACCCCCATCCCCACCCAGCCCCTCCCTGGAATTCTAGAGAAACATGGCCAGAGAAGTCATTCTTTCCAGAAAAACCTCTCAGAAGGCAGAGTCATAGCTGTTGGGAGTTATTTCTTCATTCAACAAATATTTATCAAGCACCTACTTGTGGGGACACAGCCCTTGGCACTAGTTGGTGATAGAGTGGGAGTGAAGATAGACACCGTCATATCCCTAGAGGGCTCACAGTCTGTGGGAGAGACAGACATTCATCAAATAATCAGGCAGATCAGGGCAAAACCACATCTTCAATAAGTGTTAGGAAGGAGAGAACACAGGGCTAAGAAAGCCTGGAGCAGAGAGTCGGTCAAACATGAGGGAGGGGTGTGATCTAAGAAGATTTCCCTTAAAACAGTTACCTTTGAATTGGTATCTTAAGGCTCCTCAGAATTCTGCAGTCTTCTGCTGAATGGACCACATCAGGATCTAGTAAGTTCATAAGGAAAGGGACTGAGAGATCAGCAGAGGCAAAGGCCACTAGCTGGAGAGGACAGGCTATCCCTAAGGAACTGTAAGTGGCTCAGTTCACCTGAGGCCCTTCAGAGCATGGGGAAGCCTAGTAAGAGGCTAGAGAGACAGGCAGGAGCCAGGTCACAAATGGCCTTGACAGCCAAACTAAGTGGCTCCATCTTATCCTGACAGTGGATAGCCACTGAAATATATTAAGCAGGGAAACAAAACTTTGGCTCCTCATTTCTCATGCCTGGTGAAGACTGCCATTTGGCCTTGAAAGGTGTGATCTAAATCCAAATGGGCCTATTTCAGTGGGACGTATAAAGATGTCCTGGTTTTGCAGCTTTGTTTTAAGACTGAGAAAGTGAGGGTCCGAAAGTCTTAAGGAACGCTCCAGGGACCTGGGCCGCACCTGAAGAGCACCAACGACTGCGTGGTCCGCGGCGCAGGAAGCAGATCTGTGGCTGAACCCCTATGGCGATTACTTGATGGCTGAGTCTATCAAGTGGGTGAAGGCAGGGAGTCGGCCTCTCCTTGGGGTGCATTTCCCAGCTCTGCTGCAGGCAGCATGATGCAGGTGTGGCAGGTCTTCCTGAGGCCCTGCTGCCTCTCTGTGCTTGCCCGTGGGGTTGCTGTGGTGCCCATTATGCTGACTTCAGGAAGCTTTTAGCCACTCCCTTTCCCAGGCCCTCTTCAGAGGCAAGGTGCAAGAGCATGTCTAACAATTTAGGACTTTGTATTTGACATCAGCTTCACATGGGCATATCCTATCTCTTTAAAGAGATTGTTCTTAGGGGGGGAAATGGGGACCCTCCCTACTCTTAGACCAACCGTTTCCTCAGTGACTGCCAGCACAATCGGCTCTGGTTCCATGCCACTGGCTCAGGGCCTTATGATTTGGGCATAAAGTCGGAAGACTGAGGAGGAAGACTGTACAAGTGGTTCCCATTCAGAGGGACTGGAAGGAAGGAGAGAATTTGGAAGAGCAGCAAGAAGAGGGCTGTGTGAGCTTAAATGGAGAGTCAGACCAGGGCACACCTGAGGGACACAAGTCATCTGCCCAACTAGAACTGTGGGACCCCTCAAGGGAGGCCTCAAGTGCCAGACTTGGGGACCTGCCCTTTGTCCTATAAGGCAGTGCACATTAGACCACCTGAGAAGCATGCGGAAAATGCAGATTCATGCTCTTCACCCTGAGAGTCTGACTCTGTGGGTTTGGAGAGGGACCTGGGTATCAGTGCTTTAAATGAGTTTGCTGGGTAATTCTGCTGTGATGATCAGAGGACTACCGCGGGGAATGCTATAGGCCTATCCATCCATTTCCCAGGGATCCCCTGGATTTGGCCCTCTGGGCACCTGCCCTCTAAACATCCTCTCCCTCCCTGCAGTTTTCCATGGACACAGCCTAGCAGAAAGATGCAGCCTTCATGCTTCGCTGACTACTGACCTCTGACCGACCGCCTTGATGACAGCACCCTCGTGTGCCTTCCCAGTTCAGTTCCGGCAGCCCTCAGTCAGTGGCCTCTCGCAGATAACCAAGAGCCTGTATATCAGCAATGGTGTGGCCGCCAACAACAAGCTCATGCTGTCTAGCAACCAGATCACCATGGTCATCAATGTCTCAGTGGAGGTAGTGAACACCTTGTATGAGGATATCCAGTACATACAGGTACCTGTAGCTGATGCCCCTAACTCACGTCTCTGTGACTTCTTTGACCCTATTGCTGACCATATCCACAGCGTGGAGATGAAGCAGGGCCGTACTTTGCTGCACTGCGCTGCTGGTGTGAGCCGCTCAGCCGCCCTGTGCCTCGCCTACCTCATGAAGTACCACGCCATGTCCCTGCTGGACGCCCACACGTGGACCAAGTCGTGCCGGCCCATCATCCGACCCAACAGCGGCTTTTGGGAGCAGCTCATCCACTATGAGTTTCAGTTGTTTGGCAAAAACACCGTGCACATGGTCAGTTCCCCAATGGGAATGATCCCTGACATCTATGAGAAGGAAGTCCGTTTGATGATTCCACTGTGAGCCATCCCACCAGCCCCTGCATTGGAGTCAGGGGTACAGGTCTATTGTTGATTCTACACCAAGATCCAAACTTGAACATTCTACTTTTGTTTATACAGAAAAAAACAGATGATGCCTTTTATGAGCACAAGGAAAAAGAGTTGCTGTAGCTTTTAACTTTATAATCCATTATTTTAAAGAGTGAACTCACTAGTTGTGAAATGGTGAAGGTCAGTTTTCTGCCCTGTGAGTGACAGGCCTCTGCTGGCCAGGGGATAGGTTGAGGCAGATGGTGCCCAGAAGAAAGAGGCCAGCACCCATTGCACATGGCAGGCCTGGAATCCTGCAGCCCTCCCCAAAACCGAGTGACCCAGGAATGAATCTGCTACAATTCCACCTCGTTCTTTCATACCCAGAGCCAGAGCCAGAGCCAGAGCCTTAAGCATCATGGTACCTCTTGCGCTTCTCACAGTAAGTGCCAATCTGCTAGATAAATGGCCTTCAGGCAGTGCTCCAGGAATCCTGGGGGGTCCCAGGCCACCGGTGCTTCCACCTTCACTACAAGTGGCCCAATTCTGGTTTTCTAGATTGTACTTATGCATAAGGTAGTTTCTAAAGAAAACATTCCACTGTTTAATTTTTTTTTCTTTTTTTGAGACTGTCTTGCTCTGTCACCCATGCTAGAGTGCAGTAGTGTGATGATGGCTCACTGTAGCCACAACCTCTCAGGCTCAAGTGATCCTCTTTACCTTAGCCTGCTGAGTGGCTGGGACTACAGATGTGTGCCACCATGCCCGCCTCATTTTTTTTCTTTTTTTATAGAGATGAGGTTTTACTGTGTTGCCCAGACTGGTCTCAAACTCCTGGCCTCAAGCAATCCTCCTGCCTCAGCCTCCCAAACTGTTGGTGAGCCACTGCACCCGGATACCACTGTATAAAAAATTTAAAAAAAAAAATTGTGAGTACTATTGTACATGGCAAAGTTTCAAAGAGCTCTTGGCCATCCCTCACCAAACTTTGACAAAAGATGGTGTTGGTCCCCTTCTCCAGGGCACATGAGAAAAACAGGCCTGACATCAGGCCTCGGGTTCCTCTCTTGGGCCTTGGCTTGGAAGGCTGGAGCTTTGGACCAGTGCCCAGCCCTGTCACCTCCTCTTCATGCGACCTGGACCCCTGGGAGCATCAGTGTCCTCATCGGTCCAATGACATCCCTTTTCTTACAGAGTTGTCATGAAGATTCAACAATTTCTTGGCATAATGCCTGGCCCATGGTGTGTGCTTAGTGCAAATGGCAGCTCTCATCATGAATGATAGACTCTTTAACCCTGCTGGTCCCAGGTCAGCACACACATCCTCATAATGGCATTTCTCCTTTCTGTGCACAGCCCTTTATTGTTATAAAGTACTGTTCCAAAAAGTTACCCTGTGTAAAAGAAAAAAAATGGTTTAAGTCCTTTCAGACCCTACCTCAGAGGAGGCCTAGACTTAGAGCCTTTTGAGAGCTTCCATCTTGTTTAATCTAGGTGCAATCTAGGGGTCCTGAAGCAAGGAGCACAATTCCAGTGTCCCCCAATTACTTCTAAACAGTGATTGCAGCCTTGTTTAGAATCAATATGAAAACTTGGCACCCTGGCTGACTACTGGGATTCATAAGGGGCAGTGTCAAAGGGACTAACGAGCGGACTCCATCAGTAGGCCCTGGAATTCAGGATTGTTCACATCCCCTCGGTGCCAAGGACCTGGCTCAAGACCACCTGTTCTGATCCAGAGGTTTTCAGCAAACAGCATTTGAAACAGAAGCACAGCTGCTCTGTTTGACACCGAACTGTGGCTCCAGATTCCAGTGGAAGCCAAATGCTTTTTCTTTTACAGCTGGGTGCCTGTAATCCCAGTTACTTGTGAGATGAGGCAGGAGAATCACTTGAACCTGGGAGGCAGAGGTTGCAGTGAAACGAGATTGCACCATTGCACTGCAGCCTGGGCAACAAGAATGAGACTCCATCTCAAAAAAAAAATAAAAAAGGGAAAAGAAAAGAAAAGAAAAAGAAATGCCTGGGACCAGAAATATTTGGATTATTTTCAGGTTAATATTTGCTTTACCTGAAGCAAATACTAGTTGAGCATCCCAACTCGAAAATCCAAAATGCTTAAATAAGTATTTCCTTTGAAGTCATTTCAGCTCTCAAAAAGTTTTAGATTTTGAGCATTTCAGATTTTTGGATTTGAGATCCATGAATGGGTCTCAAACTATATTTCACTTGCGGGGGCTGTTGTAGTTTTTTTCCACTTGCTCATTGTTAGTATATAGAAATACAATTGAGGCCGGGCGTGGCGGCTCATGCCTGTAATGCCAGCACTTTGGGAGGTAGAGGTGGCCAGATCATTTGAGGTCAAGTGTTCGAGACCAGCCTGGCCAACATGGCAAAAGCCTCGTGTCTGCTAAAAATACAAAAGTTAGCAGGGCGTGGTGGCAAGTGCCTGTAATTCCAGCTACTGAGATTAGAGGCTGAGACAGGAGAATTACTTGAACCTGGGAGGCAGAGGTTGCAGTGAGCCAAGATCATGACATTGCACTCCAGCCTGGGCAATAGAGCAAGACTCCATCTCAAAAAAAAAAAAAAAAAGAAAAATTGTTCTGTGCCTTCCGGCCCCCATGGTTTTTTCTCAGAAATCCAGAGGCATTCTAACTATTGTTTCCCAACAGGTAATGCTTTATTTTTCCCCAGCTGCTTTTTAAGATTTTCTCCTTGTCTTTGGTTCTCATCAGTTTTTGACTATGATGTATATGGACATGGATTTCTTTGGGTTATCCTTATCAGAGTTCACAGAGCCACCTGATTGTGTTTCAGAAATCTGGGAAGTTCTCAGCTATGATTTCTTCAAATATTGTTTTCTGCACCATACTGTCCTTTACTTCTGTGTCACTGATAATATGAACATTAGACCTTCTGACATTGTCCATGAATTCCTGAGACTATTCATTTAAAAAAAATTTTTTCTTTAGGTGGGTGTGGTGGCATGCACCTATAGTCCCAGCTGTTTGTTGGGGCTGAAGTGAGAGATCACTTGAGCCCAGGAGGTCAAGGCTGCAGTGAGCCAATATTGCGCCACTGCACTCCAGCCTGGGTGACAAAGTGAGACCCTGTTTCAAGAAAAAAATTTTTTTTTCTCTCTGCTGCTCATTTTGGATAATGAGCAGTTTACTCTTGGTGCTGTAACAAATTATCACAAACTTGGTGGCTTAGTGGCTTAAAACAACATCCATATATTTTCTCACAATTTCTGTAGGTCAGAAGTTTGACTGGACTTGACTGGTCCTCTGCTTAAAGTCTCACAAGGTCAAAATCACGTTTCATAAGGCCAAAACCAAATGTGTTTTTCCCTGGAGGCTCTGAGGAAGAATTTGCTTCCGTGTTCACTTGGGTTCTTGGCTGAATTTAGTTCATTGCAGTTGTAGGGTAGAGGACCCTGTTTTCTTAGCTATCAGCTGGGGGCTGGCCTTTTGTCTGTAGAAGCTGCCCACATTCTGGTGCTTTCTATGTGTCCCCCTCCAGAAATAGGTTGAATTTTTCTCACACTTTAAATACCTCTAACTTTTCCTTCTGTTAGCATCTAAGTCCAGCCAAAGAGAATCACTCTGCTTTAAAAGACTCACGTGATTAGAATGAGCCCACTAAAATAAAAATAAAATCAGTTACATCTGCATAAGTTACATCTGCAATCTCCTTTGTCATATAAAGTAACATTCACATTTTCCAGGGAATAGGTCAGAAACATCATTTCCAAATCTTGATTCTTATGTTTTCTTAGTTATAAAATTCTTATTTAGCCTGTAATCCCTCCAGTTTGGGAGGCTGAGGCAGGTGGATCACCTGAGTTCAGGAGTTTGAGACCAGCCTGGTCAACATGGTGAAACCATGTCTATTCTACTAAAAATACAAAAGTTAGCCAGGCATGGTGGCACATACCTATAGTCCCAGCTACTCCAGAGGCTTAGGAGAATCACTTGAACCCAGGAGGCGGTGGTTGCACCACTGTACTTCAGCCTGGGTGACAAGAGCGAAACTCCATCTCAATAAATAAATAAGTATTAAAAAAAGAAACATTTTAAAAAATAAAATTCCTATTCGATTGTTTTCTTTGTCCTCTATTTCTCCGTTAAGACTTTCCATCTTTCATTTTTAAAGTCTTTTTCTGGGCTGGACGTGGTGGCTCATGCCTATAATCCCAGCATTTTGGGAGGCTGAGGTGGGTGGATTACCTGAGGTCAGGAGTTCGAGACCAGCCTGGCCAACATGTTGAAACCCCGTCTCTAAAAATGCAAAAAATTATCTGGATGTGGTGGCGGGCACCTGTAATCACAGCTACCTAGAAGGCTGAGGCAGGAGAATTGCTTGAACCCAGGAGGTGGAGGTTGCAGTGAGCCGAGATCACACTATTGACCTCGAGCCTGGGCAACAGAAGTGAAACTCCATCGTCTTTTTCTGATAATTCCAACATCTGGGTCATCTCAGTGTCCAGACTTTCCTCATTCTTTGTGTGTAATTTTGATTGTATCCCAGGCATTTTGAGCAGGTCTTGTTTAAATCCCACGGAAAATGTCGGGTTTTTGTTTTAGGAGGCAGTTGACCCTCTTAGGTTCAGTTCTGATCTGTCTCCTGTGGGCTGTTGTAGTTCCAATATCAGTTCAGTTTCAAAGCCTTTGCCATGTAAATCAGAACAGTCCTAAGCTTATGCCACCCAGTGACCAGTCTGAAACCTGGGTGTTCTGCCTAATAGTTCAGTTCTCATTCACTGGAATACTGTTTAGAGTCAGATGTATGCATGTGAGCCTACACATTCATGTGCAACTTAATGGGATCTGTTTCACAAGCTCTCTCCTGTCCACATTCTCGCCCACACTCTCCAGCTTTCAAGACCCCTCATTTTCCTGGCCATTTAGCTAGAAATTGGGACTTTTAGTCTCCCTGCTCTGTTACGTACCTTCCATGGCGGGGTGTGCTCTTGGGCCAGGTGACAGGATGAAGAGAGAAAAAAGGCAACAGAGATTCCCCTCTTCTACTTTTCAGATCGCAGATGCTTTGGATAGATGAAAGGATTCCACTCTGTCAGAGTTTTAGGTGCTTTTCTGGCCGCCACTGCTACTGCTGCTACCAAAAAAAAAAAAATTTTCTGGAGACAGAGTCTCACTGTGTTGCCCAGGCTGGTCTCTAACTCCTGGCCTCAAGTGATCCTCCTGCCTCAGCATCCCGAAGTTCTGGGATTACAGGCATGAACAACTGCACCCAGCCTTGTTAATACTTCTTTTTCAGAGTCCTCAGATGCATTCTTTCCAGGGCTTTTAGTTGCAGCCAGTGGGAGACACAGACTGTGCTTTATCTATCTTACTTAGAACTGGAACCCTGAGGACTTACTTTTTTTTTTAACTGAAAAAAAAAAATTTTTTTTGAGATAGTCTTACTCTGTTGCCCAGGCTAGATACTGTGGTGTGATCACCACCCACTGCAGCCTCAACCTCCCAGCCTCCAGTGATCCTCTTACCTCAGCCTCCTGAGTAACTGGAACTTAGAGGCACTCACCACCATACCCAGCTAATTATTATTATTATTATTTTTTTTTTTTTTTTTTTTTTTTTGAGACGGAGTCTCGCTCTGTCGCCCAGGCTGGAGTGCAGTGGCGCGATCTCGGCTCACTGCAAGCTCCGCCTCCCGGGTTCACGCCATTCTCCTGCCTCAGCCTCCCGAGTAGCTGGGACTACAGGCGCCCACAACCGCGCCCGGCTAATTTTTTGTATTTTTAGTAGAGACGGGGTTTCACCGTGGTCTCGATCTCCTGACCTTGTGATCCGCCCGCCTTGGCCTCCCAAAGCGCTGGGATTACAGGCGTGAGCCACCGCGCCTGGCCTAATTATTATTATTATTATTATTTTTTGAGACAGAGTCTTGCACTGTTGCCCAGGCTGCAGTGCAGTGGCACAATCTCAGCTCATTGCAAGCTCCGCCTCCTGGGTTTACGCCGTTCTCCTGCCTCAGCCTCCCGAGTAGCTAGGACTACAGGCGCCCGCCACCACGCCCGGCTAATTTTCTGTACTTTTAGTAGAAACGGGGTTTCACCGTGTTAGCCAGGATGGTCTCGATATCCTGACCTCGTGACCTGCCTGCCTCGGCCTCCCAAAGTGCTGGGATTAGAGGTGTGAGTCATCACGCCCAGCCTATTTTTAAAATATTTGAAAAATTTTTTTAGAGACAGGGTCTCACCATGTTGCCCAGGCTGGTCTCAAATTCCTGAGCTCAAGTATCTATCTGTCTTGGCTTCCCAAAGTGCTGGGATTATAGGCGTGATCCACTACACCGGCCAGAATTTTTTTTTTTTTTTTTTTTTTTTGAGACAGAATCTTGCTCTGTCACCCAGGCTAAAGTGCAATGGCCTGATCTCGGCTCACTGCAATCTCCGCCTCCCGGTTTCAAGCAGTTCTGCCTCAGCCTCCCAAGTAGCTGAGATTACAGGTGCCCGCCACCACACCTAACTAATTTTTTTTTTTTTTTTTTTTTTGTATTTTTAGTAGAGACAAAGTTTCACCATGTTGGCCAGGCTGGTCTCAAACTCCTGACCTCAGGTGATCCATCTGCTTTGGCCTCCCAAAGTGCTGGGATTACAGGTGTGAGTCACTGCACCCAGCCCAGAAATTCATTTTACATGCTCATTCGTAGAAAAGGGGAAACAAATACGGTCGAGCCACAATATCCCCATCTTCCTAACCAAGTCAACATGTTAGTATTGTGATCTAGGTCCTTCCTCCTGAGCATTTTTTCATAGTTGAGTAAACATAATTTTCATTCCTCCTTTTTTAAGTTTTAATCACTTTTTATATTGTTATACAAAATAGAGAGAGGGTTTCACTATGTTGGCCACGCTGGTCTCGAACTCCTGGGTTCAAGTGATCCTTCCTCCTCAGCCTCCCAAAGTGCTGGGATTACAGGCATGAGCCACTGGGCCCAGCCATTCCTCCTTTTTAACTCTCTTTTTAAATATTCAGAATTGGACATGATGAGATCAGGATTTCATCTCCTAAGTGGGAGAGGTTAAGGTTGAGGGCTTTTGAGAGGGTCCACGTCCTTTTCCCAAACAGTTCACGCTGTTCTTTTGGACTCAGAGTAGAGCAACCTTTTACTCAGACAACCTAGGAAGAAGGTTATGTTGAGGTTTGAATGCAGTCCTATAGTAGGGGAGAAAGAAATGGTCCCATAGCCTAACACCCTGGCTTAGAACAGGGATTCTAGGCCTCTGTTTGATTACATGAACCTTTAACATTCTCCAAAAGTGAGGAAGCACTTTCTTTCCAAAGTCAATTAAATTTGGTTTGAGAAGTTTCTGTGAAGTTTATAATGCCCTGTCAGATAAACAGGAACATGCTGTTGGCCCTGAGGATTTCTCGGAATGACCAATGTTGAGATGGTGATCTAATTACAAATCCCAGGGGGCAGGTAGCTCTTGACCTTAAAGCACACAGCCCTGCTTTCCTATCCTGGGATGTTAAATCTAAATGTCCTTAGAGGCCAAGTGCAGTAGCTCATGCCTGTAATCCCAGCAATTTGGGTGACTGAGGCAGGAGGATCACTTGAGCTTGGGAATTTGCTATCAGCCTGGGCAACATAGTGAGGCTCCTTCTCTACAAAAAGTTAAAAAAAAAAAAAAAAAAATAGCCCAGCATGGTGGTGCACACCTGTAGTCCCAGCTACTCGGGAGGCTGAGGTGGAAGGATCGCTTGAGCCCAAGGAAGTCAAGGCTGCATTGAACTATGATGGCACCACTGCACTGCGTCCTCGGCAACAGAGCAAGACCCTTTTTTTTTTTCCGTATTCTGTTACCCAGACTGGAGTGCAGTAGTGTAATCATGGCCCACTACAGCCTCCCACCTCAGCCTCCCAAGTAGCTGGGACTATAGGCTCTCTCCTGGGCTTCCTGACGGCCATGGTGGCTAAGAAGGCCCGAAGGTGGTGGTCATACACTGCGGGGACATCAACGTTTCTGGCAATGTCCATAGAAACAAGTTGAAGTACCTGGCCTTCCTCCGCAAGCGCATAAACGGAGCAACCCTTCCCGATGCACCTGCCACTTCTGGGCCCCCACCACTTCCAGGTCCCCGGACGCATCTTCTGGTGGACGGTGGGGCAAGGAAACCAAGGAGGCCAGGCCGCCCGGGACTACTTCAAGGTGTGTAATGGCATCCCACCGCCCTATGACGAAAAAGCGGGTGGTGGTTCCTGCTGCCTTCCAGGTCGTGAGTCTGAAGCCTACAAGGAAGTTTGCCTACCTGGGGCACCTGGCTCACAAGGTTGGCTGGAAGTACCAGACAGTGACAGCCGCCCTGCAGGAGAAGAGGAAGAAGGCCAAGATCCACTACTGGAATAAGAAACAGCTCATGAGATGGCCGGGCGCGGGGGCTCACGCCTGTAATCCCAGAACTTTGGGAGGCGGAGGTGGACGGATCACAAGGTCAGAAGATCGAAACCATCCTGGCTAACACGGTGAAACCCTGTCTCTACTAAAAAAAAAAAAAAAATCCGGGTGTGGTGGTGGGCACCTGTAGTCCCAGCTACTCAGGAGGCTGAGGCAAGAGAATGGCGTGAACCCGGGAGGCAGAGCTTTCAGTGAGCCGAGATCACGCCACTGCACTCCAGCCTCTGCGACAGAGCGAGACTCCATCTCAAAAAAAACAAAAAAGAAACCAGCTCATGAGGCTACAGAAACAGGCCGAAAAGAACGTGGAGAAGGAAACACAAATACACAGATGTACTCAAGACCCATGGACTCCTGCTCTGAGCCCAATAAAGACTGTTTATTCCTCAATAAATAAAAACAAATAAAAACAGGGAACTTTGCTTTGGCTTGATTGATTTTGGGCTCCAGCGTAATAAGGGTTCTTCTCCAGAGAAAGTCTAAACATACAAACAGAAATTCCCAGCCTAGGCAGCAGGTGCAGCTGGGATGCTGGCAGTGCTTAGGGAAGGAGGGAGGCAGCCAGGCATGGTGGCTTAGGGCTGTATCCCAAGCACTTTGGGAGGCCGAGGTGGGCGGATCAGCCTGGCCAACATGGTGAAACCTAGTCTCTACTAAAATACAAAAAAATTAGCCGGGCATGGTGGTGTGCAATTGTAGTTCCAGCTACTCAGGAGGCTGAGGCAGGAGAATCGCTTGAACCCAGGAGGCAGAGGTTGCAGTGAGCTGAGATCGCACCACTGCACTCCAGCCTGGGCAACAGAGCAAGACTCTGTCTCAAAAAAAAAAAGGAGGAGGAAGGGGGCACATGAGGGTTGTGGTAGTTGGGATAGGATAGGGCTGCAGGAGACCTAGACACTGAGAGACGTAAGCAGGCATAGAGAACAGGGGTGGTCCCCAATAGCTGAAGGGTTCAGGGCAGTGGGGTAGGCTTAGAAACATCAGAATATCCAGGGCTTCACATACCAGGCCAGGGAGCCCAGGCCTTGTCCTGCCAGTGGTGGGGAGCACAGAAGGCAGCCACTAGCCCTCACTGAGGAAACATCTACTAAGTGCATGCTGCGGGCAAGGACTGTGCAGTACTTGGTTAGGGAGGATGCAGAGGTGTGGCTGACAAGACCCCACCCAGAACAGAATGCTCCCAGGCTAATTCCTCATAGGGCTCCAGGCTATGTCCTCAAGTCCTCAATCACTCATGCGACAGATATTCACTGATACTGTAGCTAGCTTCAGAGATGTCCTCAGTAATCCCGTCTTCCTGGTAGTCCTGCCCTTGTGTAGTCAATGTGGGAAGGGCTCATATTAAATAGACTGGTAACCAATAAGATACTGGAGAAATGACAGAGTGTGACCTTTGAGATTAGATTTAAAAGGACTTTGTGGTTTCTGGCTCTCTTGAATCACTCACTCTGGTGGACACCAACTACTCTGTGTTGAGGACACTCAAGGGGCCCTATGGAGAAGCCCCCAGGGCAAGGAACTGAGGCCTCCTGCCAACAGCCACGTGAATGCCTCATTTCTAATGTAAATCTGAAACCATCTTTGCAAAACTGTGACTGACACAGTGAAAGAGATCTAACTTAATCGACTCCATCTTGCTTCTAACCTCCAAGCTGTCTTTGTTCATTCCTGGGCATAGGCTGAACTAACATTCGGAGAAACCTAGTTTATGGTTTATAGATTAAAATGAAGATGATAACAGCCCTTTCCCAAAGCAGACCTCTTTCTTGCCTAGGGACTAGATTGCCTATATAGGACTAACATTAGCCACAAGATTAGAAATTATGGTTTAGGAGTCGTGCAGCTGGAGGCTGCAAGATTCTGACCCTCCCTAAACTGCTCCTAAGATCAGTGCTCGAGATATTTTGCAGATCCTGTGCCTGATGGATCAGCTGGCAACACCCAGATGGATAAACTAGCTCGTCTGATCTTGTGGCCCCCACCCAGGAACTGACTGGGCACTAGAAGACAGCTTCAACATCCTGGGATTTCATCCCTGACCAATCAGCACTCTTGTCTCACTGGCTTCCCCCAACCCACCAAGTTGTCCTTAAAAACTCTGCTCCCTGAATGGTCGGGGAGACTGATTTCAGTAGTAATAAAACTCTGGTCTCCTGCACAGCAGGCTGTGTGTGAGTTACTCTTTCTGTATTGGTAATTCCCCTGTCTTGATAAATCGGCTTTGTCTAGGCAGCAGGCAAAGTGAACCCATTGGGGGATCACAAATCCTCCAGCCCCAGCCAAGCTTTCAGATGACTGAAGCTCAGGCCAGCATCTTGACTACAATTTCATGAGAAACTCAACCAGAACCAACCCACTAAGCCACTCCCGAATTCCTGATCCACTGAAACTGTGAGACACTACATGTTTGTTGCTCTAAGCCATCAGGTTTTGAGATTAATAGTTATTCTAAATCAATACAACCGATACCCACTCTGCCCCAACACTGTCCCCACCATCATGTAGTTACCTAGACCACAACAACAGGTCTTCCCTAATCTCCCTGCCTCCTGTCTCGAGCCCCTCCAATTTTTTCTCTACATAGGGTCTGTCATGTGCATCCGTGGCTCAAAACCTCTCGTGGGCCTCCATTAAGTGGCCCTCAGTTAAGTATTTTGTGCTATTTCCAGGAAGTTATTTAGTGCAGTGGTGGAGGATTTGACATCCCTGAGCTAATTTGAGGGCAGCGTAGCATGAAGGAGCTGCTCCTTCCAGGGGGCCAGGGCAAACAAGGACTCTTCATGATCCTTGTTTGCCCTGGCCCCCTGGAATGCCAATCCAAGGGCCACTAGGGGAGGGTAGAAGGGGCACCAGGCAGCTGGGCCTGAGACAGGTCTTTGTTTCGAAGTCCACAATGGCAGGATGCCCAGCACAGACCCAGCTTCCCAGGCTTCCTCCGAGGCAGGACAAGGGGACTGGAGGCTTGGCATCCACACTGCTGTGCTCTGGCGGGAACATCCCTGGGGGACTCTCAATGTGCTCTGGCAGGCTGAGGAGGGGTGGGGCAGATAACAAGAGAAGCCTTGAGGAGGAAGTGGAAGCATCTGTGATAAGACTGAGGCCTTCCTAGGCCTTTGTCCATTACAGCTCCAGAAGCTGGTAGGGGGTTAAGTTCCACTGCTGCCCCCACTCAATGCACAGAGGCACAGGTGGGGAGGACCTTGCGCAAGATCACACAGCTCAGATGTACTGAAGCCAGGATTCAAGCATAAGTCCAACTCCGAAGCCCTTGTTCTTTTTTATTTATTTTTATTTATTTTTTGAGATGGAGACTCATTCTGTCACCCAAGTTGGAGTGCAGTGGCGCGATCTTGGCTCGCAGTCCAAGCTCAGACTACAGGTGCACCCACCATACTCTGCTGTCTGTTCTTGACTCATCTCTCCTGCCCACTCCATGCCACATGCTATGCCGGTGCTCGGGAGAGAGCAGTGAGCCCTCCTGGAGCCCAGTCCAGTGGAGAAGAGAGACGAGAATCCAGCCCTGATGGTGGGATGTGATCAGGGCCCTGCCTGGAGAGGTGCAGGGAGCTGGGGTGAGCTTTGGTTGGAGCTTCAAACTCAGCTTGGCATGGAATGGGGTGGGGTCTTGTGGGGAGAGCAGAGCTTCCTAAGGGAGGCAACACCTGTTTACCTAAAGAGAAGGCTTCGCAGCAGGGACTGGATGCAGAGATTGAGGCTCAAAGAGGTGAAGAGACTTGCCTGAGGCAACAGAAATATTGAGGAGCAGAGCCTGGAGGGACAACGACCTTTCAATGGGACCCTCCCTCCCCACTGTTATCTTGGTGATCTTCACTCCCAAGGATACTGTGAGAGGAAGAGGCCAGCCTGAGGTCACATCATAAGTAGGAGGGGTCAGGACTCAAACCTGGGCTTTTGTTTTCGAGAGGAAGTTTCGCTCTGCCACCCAGGCTGGAGTGTGATGGCATGATCACAACTCAATGCAACCTCTGCCTCCTGGGTTCAAGCACTTCTTCTGCCTCAGCCTCCCGAGGAGCTGGGATTACAGGCACATGCCACCACACCTGGCTAATTTTTGTATTTTTAGTACAGATGGGGTTTCACCGTGTTGGCCAGGCTGGTCCTGAACTCCTGACTTCAGGTGATCCGTCCCCCTCGGCCTCCCAAAGTGCTGGAATTACAGGCGTGAGCCACCACATCCTGCCAAACCCAAGCTTTTTGACTCGCAATCCAGTGCTCTCTGTGCCCACTACTGGGAGGGGTGATAGAGATGGCTTTGGCTGTGGCCTTGAGGGAATCACCTCAATGTCTAATGGTCCTGAATCTGGTGACAAATCAGCTCCCAGGTCACACACAACCCCAGTCACCTGTCCCCACAACCACCAGGGGCAGGCTTTAATCTGACGTGAGGCTCACTCATTAGCCAAGCATCCCACAAGGCCTAGAAATGAGGGTGGTACAGGGAGGTCCCTACTATGGCAGTGGGTGCCTGTTGGATGGGAAAGGGTCCTGAGTCACCAAGGAGGATTTGACCACAGCCATCCATCCCTCCATCCTGCCTGGCAAAGCCTGAGAGTGGAGGCCAGAGGTATCCAAGCTGCTCAGAGACTGGGCTGGGCCAGTGGCATCTCTGAGTCAGAGGGTGGGTGATGAGTGACTCAGCCCAGGCCCACTTCCCCTTCTGTAAGGCAGCCTGGGCGGAGCCTGGGGCCAGGAAACCCCACACCGGTCCTCCTAGGCCTTCTCTACCCCCCCCCCAACCCCCTACCTCCCACCCCGCGGTGGGCTGGCCCTTAACTCAGCCCTGCCTAGCACTGGCTGGCACTGTGGTCCCTTACGAATTCTGGTTACTGAATCTGAATGATTCCTCCCTGAATCTCAGTCTCCCCAGACCACAGCCCCAGCCTGGTCTAGCTCCTGCTGCTCACACAAATGGGAGACATTTTGCAGATGGTTTCCAGAAAGGTTGGGTGACTACCCCAAGATAGAAGCAGAGCCAGTTGGTGCCGTCACCTCCTTCCTCACTCCTGGCCCTGCTCAGCGCTCCTCATTCAAACCCTCTCCAAGGGGATCATCAGTTCCATTTTGCAGATCTGGAAGCTGAGGCCTAGGGAGGGGAGGCTCTCAGTCAGGTGGGCAGAGCAGGATTAGGTCCCAGGTGTTCTCACTCCAGCCTGGGTCCTTATCATCTTTAACAGGTGGTCTCCAGGAAAGGTAGCTGGGTGGGGAGAGTTAAGTGTTAAAAGTGCCAAGGAAAGGCTCAGAGGTAAATAACAAAGCTGACACTGGCTGGTGGGTCAGGGAGCTCTGGGGGTTGGGACTCCTGTCTTAGGTTCCCTACATGGGAGCCCTGCTCTCCTGCACCCCTGCAAGCCTCCTGAGCACAGTCCCTTGTCAAGACCCTCATCAGCCCTTCTTTTTTTTTTTTTTTTTCAAAGAGATACTGTCTTGCTCTGTCACCCAGGCTGGAGTGCAGTAGCATGATCATAGTGCACTGCAGCCTCCAACGCCTGGCCTCAAGTGACTGGATTTTTCTTTTCTTCTTTTTTTCTTTTCTTTTTTTTTTGAGACAGAGTTTCGGTCTTGTTGGCCAAGCTGGAGTGCAATGGCGTGATCTTGGCTCACTGCAACCTCCGTCTCCTGGGTTCCAGCATTTCTCTTGCCTCAGGCACGTGCCAGCAGGCCCGGCTAATTTTTTGTATTTTCAGTACAGATGGGGTTTCACCACGTTGGCCAGGCTGGTCTCGAACCCCTGACGTCAGGTGATCTGCCCACCTTGGCCTCCCAAAGTGCTGGGATTACAGATGTGAACCATCGCGCCAGGCCTGGATTTCTCTTTTTTTTTTTTGAGACGGAGTCTCACTGTGTCCCCCAGGCTGGAGTACAGTGGCGCAATCTCAGCTCACTGAGAGCTTCGCCTCCCGGGTTCACGCCATTCTCCTGCCTCAGCCTCCTGAGTAGCTGGGACTACAGGCGCCCACTACCGCGCCCGGCTAATTTTTTATATTTTTAGTAGAGACGGGGTTTCACCGTGGTGTCGATCTCCTGACCTTATGATCCGCCCGCCTTGGCCTCCCAAAGTGCTGGGATTACAGGCGTGAGCCACCGCGCCTGGCCTGGATTTCTCTTTTTAAAAAGAGTTGCGGGCCGGGCGCGGTGGCTCAAGCCTGTAATCCCAGCACTTTGGGAGGCCGAGACGGGCGGATCACAAGGTCAGCAGATCGAGACCATCCTGGCTAACACGGTGAAACCCCGTCTCTACTAAAAAATACAAAAACCTAGCCGGGCGAGGTGGCGGGCGCCTGTAGTCCCAGCTACTCAGAAGGCTGAGGCAGGAGAATGGCGTGAACCCGGGAGGCGGAGCTTGCAGTGAGCTGAGATCCGGCCACTGCACTCCAGGCTGGGCAACAAAGCAAGACTCTGTCTCAACAAAAATAAAATAAAATAAAATAAAAATAATAAAATAAAAAAAATAAAAAGAGTTGCATGTTTGGGTTTTCTCCTCCAGGCAAGGGTTTAAGCCATGAGAAGGGAGGAGGTTGTTGTAGGAATGGGGGACTGAACAGAGGGAACAGCATGTGCAAAGGCTTCATTGAGCAGGCCTGGTGTCACAGGGAACCAAAAGAAGTCAGTGAGGCTGGAAGACAGAGCCCAGGGGAAGGGAGATGAGCTGGGTGAGGCTGCAGGTGCCACGTCCTGAGGGACTAGGGGTCTGGGGTAGGAAATTCTGACTTTGTCCCAGGAGCAGTGAGGAGCATCAGAATGTACATGTTTTAGTGAGATCCCTCTGGGTGAAGGGGGCTGTGTGTAAGATGGAGTAGAGGGGCCAGGGCAGAGCAAAGGGGAGGCCACTGCCACTGTCCAGAAGATGGGCAATGGTGGCCTGGCCAGTGGAGGGATTTGAGGGAATGGCACTGGGCTCGGGGTGGGGGGCCAGACAGACCGCGATGGGTAAGGGTAAGAGAGGATGTCCTAGTTTCTGTGTGGGAAGGCTCCCACTCTCCCTATATCCCCTCTGTACCCCCAACAAATGACACAGGCATACAAGCAAAAATAGTGTATTTGAGGATGGATGACCCAAAATTGGGGGGCCCAGGGGTGAGGCCACAGCAGCTGCCTGCAGTTGGCATAGACTACCCCAACTCCCTAGGGGAGCCCAGCAGCCTAGAAGCCCCCCTGCTGGGCCTCCTAGCTGCCTCCCCTCCAAGAGGAAGGATTGTGTAACCGCCAAGAATCATCATCATCGTCATCGTTAACACGTTGAGGTCTTCAAAGTCTGGCCAGCAATTTTTGGCATCATAGTTGATATTAATCATAATGACTCTGACAAGCACAGGGACTGTGCCAGGCTTGGACGCACCATCCAGTGGTGAGCAGAGTCTGTGGCAGGGGTGAGGCAGGCAGGGATAGGAGGCAGGTCTCCCTGGGAGTCCCCATTCCAACCTCCAAGCCAGCCCTTCCAGAAAGCTCCCCCAACAGACGTCACTGCCTGTTCTCCAGTTTTTTTTTTTGTTTTTTTGTTTTTTTTTGAGACAGGGTCTCGCTCTGTCTCGCAGGCTGGAGTGCAGTGGCATGCGATCTTGGCTCACTGCAGCCTTGATCTCCAGGGCTCAAGTGATCCTCCCACCTCAGCCTCCCATGTAGCTGGGACTATAGGCACACGCCACCATGCCCAGCTAATTTTTGTATTTTTAGTAGAGACGAGGTTTTGCCATGTTAGCCAGGCTGGTCTCAAACTCCTGGTCTCAGATGACCCACCCATCTCGGCCTCTGGAAGTGCTGGGATTATAGGCATGAGCCACCATGCCCAGCCCTGTTTTCCATTCTTCCTATGGCCATGGCTGAGGGTTGGATTCAGGCCAGGGCCATCCCAGGTGGCTCCTGAGATCCCCTAGGTCTCAAAGACCCTTGCTGGGCTGGTCCCTCCGCCACAGCCCCCGACGGGCAGCCCAGGAGGCCACAAACTCGCAGTTGTGGTAAAGGAACATTCCTGAAAGAGTGAGTGCGATGCCCACGTAGCTGAGGGCACTGAGGCGGCTGCCAAACAAGAGCCGGGACAGGATGAGGTTGCCCACTACGGTGAGGTTGCCCAGGACGTGGACGGTGAGGGCAGAGGTGAGGGCCAGCAGGGAGAAGCTGGCCAGGTTATAGAGAACAGACAGGAGGCAGCTGAGCAGGATGCAGGCCCAGAGGCGAGAGTCACCAGCAGCGGGCGGTGGGGTGACGCCAGCCTCCAGCACCAGGGCTGCACCCGCCAGCAGGCAGAAGCTGGGCAGCGAGGTGGCGTAGAGCAGGGTCACCGCGTCCAGCCTGTCCTCCTGCAGCAGGGCACCTGCAACAGGACAACCACCATGAGCACCCAGAGGGACACAAGCCCCTCCAGCCACCCCACTATGACCCCTATGGCCGATCCGCTAAGAAGTCTACCCGGACCCCTCAGGCAGGGCGAGTGGCTCCTGATCTGAAACGTGACAGTAAAGAGTTGGAGTCAGACCACCTGCGTTTCACCCCTGACTAGCTGTGACCTGGGCTTATGAGAGGCGCTTAACCTCTGTAAGCCTGAGTTTCCTCCCCCGGTGAGTTGGGTAATAATCAAACCTAATCATGGGGTTGTTGTAAACATTTTAAAGGACAGCATACGTAAAGCTCTTAAATGGGAAATGCTCAGTAAATATAAAAAACTAAACTAAAATAAATAAGTCTGTTATCAGCCACTTCAAACCGCCTCCCACGAGCTGAAACAATGATCTGCTTGGGATATCTAAATGATCAATAAGTATGAAGACTAATGGCTGAAAAAAAAATTACAAAGGCCGGGTGTGGTGGCTCATGCCTGTAATCCCAGCACTTTGGGAGGGCAGATCGCTTGAGTCCAGGAGTCTGAGACCCGCCCGGGCAACGTGATAAAACCCCATCTCTACACAGTACAAAATATTAGCCGGGAGTGGTGGCACATGCCTGTAGTCCCAGCTACTCAGGAGGCTGAGGCAGGAGGATCTTGAGCTCAGGAGGTGGAGGTTGCAGTGAGCCAAGATCACATCATTGCACTCCAGCCTGGGCAACAGAGTGAGACCCTGTCTCAAAAAAAAACAAAAAATCGACCAGGTGCAGTGGCTTGTGCCTGTAATCCCAGCACTTTGAGAGGCTGAGGCAGGAGGATCACCTGAGCCCAGAGGAAGGCTATAGTGAGCTATGGTGATGCTACTGCAGTCTACTTCAGTGACCAGAGCAAGACCCTGTCTCTAAAATATAAAAATAAATCTTCAGGGGCTGCCCTGGCCCTGAAGGTCCTAGGTTCTTTTTTTTTTTTTTTTTTTTTCCTGAGACAGAGTCTTGCTCTGTTGCCCAGGCTGGAGTGTGGTAGCATGATCTCGGCTTGCTGCAACCTCTGCCTCCCGGGTTCAAGTGATTCTCTTGCCTCAGCCTCCCAAGTAGCTGGGATCACAGGCACGCACCACCACACCTGGTTAATTTTTGTATTTTTAGTAGAGATGGGGTTTTGCCATGTTGGCCAGGCTGGTCTTGAACTCCTGACCTCAGGTGATCCTCCCACCTCATCCTCCCAAAGTGCTGGGATTACAGGCGTGAGCCAGCGCACCTAGCCCAAGGTTCTTAACCCAGCTTCGAAGACTGCATCAACTGGCCCCAACCACCCGGGCCACAGCCCTTATTACTCCCACACTGCAGTTCCAGCCACCATGAAAGGGCAGGCCAGCAGAGGGTCCCAGCTCTGCCACTTACTAGCTACATGGGGGCCTTTGCATTAAAAAATAAGAATTTATAAAAGAAAATAATAAATTGGGTCAAAAGGGTGACCCATTCATTGCTTCATTCACTTATGACCACTGGAGTGACAAGGGAACAAAAGGTCATTGTGGGATCTTGGCTCTCACTCACTGTTTATAACTGATAATCAGCAATTTTTTTTTTTTTCCTGCTAATACTGGGGCTTGTCAAGATGAATCCAGGACTAAGAGGAAACCTTTTCACTTTGTAAGGGAAGAGAGGATCTTGCTGCTTTGCCTATGTCTGACTATATCTGTGTGTACCTGCGTGTACACGTGCCACCATCAGCCAATTCAAAAAGGGGTGCCCAGATGAAATGACATTATTATTATTATTATTATTATTATTATTATTAGAGACAGGGTCTGGTTCTGTTGCCCAGGCTGGAGTGTAGTGGCACGATGTCAGTTTACTACAACCTCTGCCTTCCGAGCTCAAGCGATCCTCCTGCCTCAGCCTCCCAAGTAGCTGGGGCTACAGGCATGCACCATCACCCCTGAAAATTTTTTGTAGAGATGGGGTTTCATCATCTGGTTCACCCAGGCTGGTCTCAAACTCCTAGACTCAAGCAATCTGCTCAGCCTGGCCTCCCAAAGTGCTGGGATTACAGGTGTGAATCATTGCGCCTGGCTGAAATGACATTATTTGCATGAGGGCAAGGATGGCATGGGGCCTTCGCCAAGTTAGTGGAGAGAGATGAGTAGTTGACACAGGTCCCCTCCCGGGCCTCTGCGAGCCTCTATGCATTTTCTGACACACACTTTCCAAAAAGCCACAGAGATGCTTACTCATAGGCTATGCTTAGAATAGGAAATGTTATTTCTCTCTCAATTTCATTCTGATGTTTTAGCTTTGTTCTCTAGGCAACAAACAGTCCCTCTGGCTGAAACGTTTCTAGAAATGAACAGATAATCAGAATGCCTCCTGCTCGCAGGCTCGAAAGTTAACACTGTTATGAGCTGCCTGTGGCTTCCACATTAAACGTCCCATCACAGGAAGGCATGTGGGTTTCCAGGTGAACTTCACCTTTGGCAAATTTCACCCTCTGCAAGGCAGCCAGGCAGGAAGGTCCTAACCTTCCCACCCATCTCCTCGCACCCATTGTACATGCCACCCACTCCTCCACCTCCCCTTCCTGCAGCGCAGGGAAAGGGCGGCGAGTCGCTGTCAGAGGCGGCAACTGACTTCTACCTGGGGACCCCAAAGTGTCAGCCTGTTTGTCCTGCCTCATTGTCACTTCTCCTTCTAGTGGAACATGCCCAGGTTTCTGCCACAGGTAACAGCTGACCCTTCTCTAAACCCTGTCTGCTTGCTATTGGCTTGTCCCTTTTGCTCTTTCACGGGCGGTGTGACACTGTCTCTCTGCATACCTCAGTCTCCTTGTGAGTAGTGTGGTTCAGGTAGCAACATCTCCCTCACATGTGACGTGCTGAACACGGGGCCTGATGCCCTGTGTGATGCCCTTGATGCCAGCTCACCCCGGCAGCTGGCATGATCCCCACACCCTGCTCCTGCTGGCTGACACCCCGTGCCCTGGGACAGCCTGTTTCCCATTCCCAGATCACCCTTTCCTCCTCCATCAGTATGAAGAGCTGGGCATGGTGTGGGCACTTAGGGAGGCCCCAAAAAATGTTTGCTCTCATGGTTACATTATTGTCATCCTCACTGCATGCCTCTTCCCCTAGGCAGCCTTCTCAGGGCTCCCCAGGAAGAAGCAACCACTCCCCAACACCTGTGACCACCTTGACTCTAGAACTTCTCTTTTGTCATTGTGATCTCTATATCTGAGTGCATCTCCCCCATCACACACAGCCTGAGAGCTCAGAGGACAGGGGTTGAGTCCGCCTGCTCTGTGATGTGGGGCGGGGTGGGGGGGTCCAGCTAAGAGCAAGCTCAGCAGGCTGGCGCCCCACTTCCCACCCTTTCTGTGGGTAGGAAGACGGCACTCTCCTCGTGCAGGCCCCCTGGGCCTACAACTGGCCCAGGAAGGAGGGAAGCCGCTGGCCCTGCCGGCAGCTGTCTGGGCTCTCCTCTTTCTGGATACTTTTTTTTTTTTTTTTTTTTTGAGATAGAGTCTCGCTCTGTCACCCAGGCTGGAGTGCAGTAGTTCGATCTCGAACTCACTGCAAGCTCCGCCTCCCGGGTTCACGCCATTCTCCTGCCTCAGCCTCCTGAGTAGCTGGGACTACAGGCACCCGCCACCATACCTGGCTAATTTTTTGTATTTTTTAGTAGAGACGGGGTTTCACCATGTTAGCCAGGATGGTCTCGATCTCCTGACCTTGTGATCCGCCTCAGCCTCCCAAAGTGCTGGGATTACAGGCGTGACCCACTGCGCCTGACTTTTTTTTTTTTTTTTTTTTGAGATGGAGTCTCAGTCTGTCACGCAGGCTAGAGTGCAGTGGTGTGATATCTCGGCTCACTGCAACCTCCACCTCCCCGGTTCAAGAGATTCTCCTACCTCAGCCTCCCGAGTAGCTGGGATTACAGGCATGCACCAGCATGCCCAGCTAATTTTGTTGTATTTTTAGTGGAGATGGGGTTTCACCATGCTGGCCAGGCTGGTCTCAAACTCCTGACCTCAAGTGATCTGCCTGCCTTGGCCTCCCAAAGTGCTGGGATTACAGGCGTGAGCCATCATGCCCAGCCTTCTTTCTGGATACTTGCCCTCTGCTCCCACAGACTCTGCTCTCAGGAATGGAGCTGGCATCAGCCACGTACACTTGAGTCTGAATCTGGCCCTGGTGCCTCTCCAGGAGCCTCTTGCTGTAGAAACCTCCTTTTGTTCAAAACCTATTTCAGGCCGGGTGTGGTGGCTCATGCCCGTAATCCCAGCACTTTAGGCTGAGGTGGGTAAATCACTTGAGTCTAGGAGTTGGAGACCAGCCTGGGCAACACGATGAAACCCCATTTCTACAAAAAATACAAAAATTAGCTTGGCATGGAGGTGCGCCTATAGTCCCAGCTACTTGGGAGGCTGAGGTGGGAGGATTGCCGGAAGCTGGGAAATTGAGGCTGCAGTGAGCCACTGTGCTCCAGCCTGGATGACAGAGCAAGACCCTCTCATAAACAAACAAATGAGCAAAAAAAAAAAACCTATCTCAGGCCCTGGCTCAAGTCTGTTCCTCCCCATCTCTGCAGGGCTCCCATCTCTGTTAGTGGGGCCTCCAGCCCTCTGAACTCCCTCCTGAACCATGCAGCCCAACCATTCTATGAGATCGGCTCGCCTGTCAGAGCCATCAATAAATCTATCCATCTGGGCATGTTGGCTCACACCTGTAATTCCAGCACTTTGGGAGGCCCGGAGGGAAGATCATTTGAGGCCAAGGGTTCGAGACCGCCTGGGCAACATAGTAAGCCCCTGTTTCTACAAAAAAAAAAAAAAAAAAAAAAAAAAATTAGCCAGGTATGGTGGCATAAGTCTGTAGTCTTAGCTACTCAGGAGGCTGAGGCACAAGAATTGCTTGAACCCAGGAGGCAGAGGTTGCAGTGAGCCGAGATTGCGCCACTGCACTCCAGCCTGGGCGACAGAGATTGTCTCAAAAAAAAATAATAAAATAAAATTTAAAAATTATAATTTACAAAGTATGTACCCTCTGCCAGGCCCCGGGGCTAGGTTCCAGGAACACAGAGTTGCCCAAATCTGTCTGGCAGACAGCAGACATGTAACCAGGTGGCGATCATACATGGCATTTGGAGCCATGATGGGGTGAGCAGAGGGTGCTTCAGGAGCCTAGAGCAAGGACCCGACCTCCCCAGGGGTCAGGGAGTTAAGACTGGGGAGGGAGGGAAAGAAGGAGCTGGCAGGAGTCAAGATGCAGCCTGATGCCAGGCACATGCCACTCCATGCCCAAGTGCCTGAGGCCTGGCCAGCCATAACCCCTCTTGAAGGTTGGGGCTGCCTGGGTCCCAGCGTGAGGAGCACTGACTGTTTCTCAGCAGGGGCAGCACAGGCCTTGAGGTTAGGACCTTTGCAGCACTGTGTCCTGCATGGGGGGGCCCATAGGTCAGGTTTCCCAGTGCAGACTCAAGCCCAGAGCTCATGCCTGTGCTCAGCCTCCAGCTATCATGTAACCTGAGGGCAAAAAATAGAACTGGGTTTTGGCCCTGCCTCGGGGCCAGGGAGGATAGAGACAGGGCCTCTGTGTCCCAGCTCTGAATATGCCAGGGCAGGGCTGAACTCTGACTTCAATCTTCCCTGGCTGCGGGCTGCCATCAACCCCAGCCCAGCATTCTTGGAGTGCCCACTTCCTTCTCCCAGGCCTGGGTCACAGGATCTCAGGGCAGGAAGGGAGAGCAAGAGGCCCCTTGGACTCCATCAACTCCAACTCTCCTCCACTGACAGATGAGGAAAGTGAGGCCCAGATAAAATCCTGATCTGTCCAAGGTTGCCCAGCAAATATGAGCAAAGGGATGGTTGGAACCCAGACCTCCCCACTCTGAGTGGGCGCCCTGGCCTCCCCTATATCTCCTTGAGTTGAGGCAGAGAAAGGGTAGAGGCTGCGACTCAGATGCTCCTCAGTAGGAAAGGCGGGAAGCCAGCCCTCAGGCAGAATGATCTAGCGGGTCTGGGCCTGGAACCTCTACCCTAAACTGCCCAGAGCCCTGCTGCAGTCACACAGACCATGCTTCACGTCATTAGGGACCCTGTGACCTCTGTGTAAATCATGAACTTCTTTCTTTCTTTGTTCTTTGTTCTTTTTTTTTTTTGAGACGGAGTCCCCCTCTGTCCCTAGGCTGGAGTGCAGTGGCGTGATCTCGGCTCACTGCAACCTCTGCCTCCTGGGTTCAAGTGATTCTCCTGCCTCAGCTTCCCAAGTAGCAGGGATTACAGGCACGCACTGCCACGCCCAGCTAATTTTTGTATTTTTAGTAGAGATAGGGTTTCACCACATTGGCCAGGATGGTCTTGATCTCCTGACTTCATGATCTTCCCACCTCGGCCTCCCAAAGTGCTGGGATTACAGGTGTGCGCCACTGCGCTGGGCCGAACTTCTTTCTTTTTTTTGAGACAGAGTCTCGTTCTGTCACCCAGGCTGGAGTGCAGTGGCATGATCTCGGCTCACTGCAACTTCCTTCTCCCAAGTTCAAGCAATTCTTATGCCTCAGCCTCCCCAGTACTTGGGATTACAGGTGCACGCCACCAGGCCCAGCTGGCTTTTTTTTTGTTTTTTTTTTTTTTTTAGACAGAGTTTCGCTCTTGTTACCCAGGCTGGAGTGCAATAGCGTGATCTCGGCTCACTGCAACTTCTGCCTCCTGGGTTCAAGTGATTCTCTCGCCTCAGCCTCCTGAGTAGCTGGGATTACAGGCACCCACAATCATGCTCAGCTAATTTTTGTATTTTCAGTAGAGACTGGGTTTCCCCATGTTGGCCAGGCTGGTCTCAAACTCCTGACCTCAGGTGATCCACCAGCCTTGGCCTCCCAAAGTGCTGGGATTACAGCTGTGAGCCACCACGCCCAGCCCAGTTTTTTTTTTTTTTTTGAGATGGAGTCTCACTCGTCATCTAGGCTGGAGTGCAGTAGGGTGATCTTGGCTCCCTGCAACCTCTGCCGCCCGGGTTCAAGCTATTCTCCTGCCTCAGCCTCCCAAGTAGCTGGGATTACAGGCGCCTGCCATGGCACCCGGTTAATTTTTTTGTATTTTTAGTAGAGATGGGGTTTCACCATCTTGGTCAGGCTGTTCTTTTTTTTTTTTTTTTTTTTTTTTGAAACGGAGTCTCGCTCTGTCACCCAGGCTGGAGTGCAGTGGCCGGATCTCAGCTCACTGCAAGCTCCGCCTCCCGGGTTCACGCCATTCTCCTGCCTCAGCCTCCCGAGTAGCTGGGACTACAGGCGCCTGCCACCTCGCCCGGCTAAGTTTTTGTATTTTTAGTAGAGACGGGGTTTCACTGTGTTACCCAGGATGGTCTCGATCTCCTGACCTCGTGATCCGCCCGTCTCGGCCTCCCAAAGTGCTGGGATTACAGGCTTGAGCCACCGCGCCCGGCCGGGCTGTTCTTGAACTCCTGACCTCATGATCCACCCATCTCAGCCTCCCAAAGTGCTGGAATTACAGGCGTGAGCCACCGCACCTGGCCCCAATTTTTGTATTTTTAATAAATACAGGGTTTCACCATGTTGGCCAGGCTGGTCTTGAGCTCCTGGCCTCAAGAGTCCTCCCGCCTCAGCCTCCCAAAGTGCTGGGATTACAGGCATGAGACACCATGCCCGGCCTGTCAAATCATGAACTTCTCTGGGTCTTAGTCCCATCATCTGTAAAATGGGGATAATGTTGGTGGTTGCCATGAGAACTCAAGGTCAACACCCAGCACCAAGCCTGTCACACTGTAGCTCCCAGTAAACATCAGCCCTCCCCAGACTTAGGCCTGAACCCTGACCTTCCAAATCCCAGCTCAAGGCTTTACCTCCTTTTCTCTCCCTGGCCCATGCTTTCTGGCTTTCCTCTGGGTCTAAAGCCTTAGGCCACATCTCTTGGAAGGATGGAGTCCTCCTATCTGGGTTCAGATCTTGCCTCTGTTGCTCACTGGCCACATGGCCCAGAGCAAGCCTCTTCATCTATCAAATGGGAACAAAACAGTGAGATAAAGGGCTAGTCAAAGCATAGATCACTGGCTATCACTAAATACCGGTTTGTAATTCCAGAACTTCAGGAGGCTGAGGTAGGAGGATCACTGAGGCCAGGAGTTCAAGACCCACCTGGGCAACATAGCAAGACCCTGTGTATACAAAAAAAAAAAAAAAAAAAAAAGCTGTGCAGTGACTCACGCACTAATCCTAGCACCTTGGGAGGTCAGGAGTTCAAGACCACCCTGGCCAACATGGTAAAACGCCTTCTCTAATAAAAATACAAAAATTATCTTAGCATGGTGGTGGACACCTGTAGTCCCACTTACTTGGGAGGTGGGGAAGAATCGCTTGAACTCGGGATGCAGAGGCTGTAGTGAGCTGAGATCTCACCACTGCACTCCAGCCTGGGCGACAGAGCCAGACCCTGTCTAAATAAGTAAATAAACAAATAAACACGAGTTGGGACTCCAGAGCCTGAGTTTGGGGCCTGGAACTCACTGAGCTGTTGGCCCTCTCTGAGCCTCAGTTCTGCTTCCTCCACAGCCATGAACCTCAGTTTCCTCATCTGTAAAATGGGACAACAGTCATACCCCTCACAGGGCCATCCAGGCCACACACCCACCCGGATCCCCACCTTCTCAGTTGGCCACCCAGGCACTTACTTTGCTGAACCGACTTGAGTCCTCGGAGGCAGGTGGCTGCCAGCAGGAAGCCACAGCCAGTGGGGGGTGTCCGGAACTCTCCAGCCAGGCTGCAGGCGGCCCCCAGGCAGAGCGGACCCATGGCCGCCAACTGCAGCGGGTGGTGGCGGCGGCCCAGCAGCAGTGCCGACAGGGCCAGGGTGAACAGAGGCGTCGTGGTAGTGACTAGTTGTGCCAGGTCCAAGGGCACAGCCCTTAGGCCCACGTTGCCACAGGCCATGGAAGTGCCGAAGGTGAGGCTGAGCAGTAGGACTCGGCAGCGAGTGCCGCCTGGCATGGGGCGCCGTGCCCCCCGGTGGCATGCCAGGGCTGCCACCAGCATGTGCAGCGCGGACAGCAGCAGGGGCCGCCCAAAGCCGTGCACTGTGAAGATCCACTTGTTGAGGCTTGACATGCTGGCTCCGGCCAGCAGCCACACCAGTGCTGCCATGGCCACCCGGGCCCGGCCAGGCTGCCGGAGGGCCTGAGGGCTGCCAGGGGGCCACTCGGGGGGCCCAGCCACCCGAGCACCACCAGCTGCTGCTGCTACTTCGGTTGAGGTCATCCTGCCATCATGGTGCTCCGGTGGGCAGCGGCACATCCGCACCAGTGGGGCTAGGGCAGGAGGTAGGCTCCCCAGTGACCACCTCTGGGCCACCAGAGATCTCCGCTTGGGGCCAGGCTAGATCCTGGTTCCTCCGACCCCGTGTCCCGTTTCAGACAGGTGAGAACACTGCTTACTTGTGCCAGGCCTGTGCCAGCGATGTCTAGGAGCTAAGCTGTATTTCCAACTCAGACAGGGTAGAGCCAAGGTCGCGACTGCTAGGATGCCAGGGTCTCCGATGCTCAAGCGTGGGCTCCAGGCACCTCTGCCCGTGCCAGGTGGTCTCCACTCGCCTCCTCGCCTAGTGCCCACGCTATGCTTTTAGATGAAATCCTCGTTCCTTTTTTCTCTTCGGTCCCCAGGTCATTAGGGTGCGCGCAGATCCAGACCCTGGGAACTCCTGCGTGCTCTGGCCGTGATCAGGTCTGGCAGGGGGGCGATCCGGGCTCCGCGCCTGGAGGTGCCCGGCCTGGGGGGTCGCGGGCTCGCTGTCTCCCACACTGCCCGGGCAGTGAGCTGACACCACGGCCCGTGCTCCGGCCGGTGCCTGGCGGCGAGCTAGGCGCGGTTCCAGCAGGGCCTGCGCTCCAACTCCTGCTCTTGGAGGCTTTGCGGCTCTGGCTGCGGCTGTGACTCCGGCTGTGGCTCCTGCTGCGCCTCACGCCCGGCTCCAGCTCAGGCCGGGCACGGCGGGCGTGGTGGTGCGCCCTTGGCTCCGCCTCTGCCTCTGCCTCCTCCTCCGCCGCCGCCGCCGCCGCCCGCTCCCTACACGGAAAATTGGGCTGAGCACCCCCGCCAGGCCCCGCCCCAGGCCAGGTCCGGCTCCCGGAGCCGGGAGGGAGGTCTCGCCCCGCCCCAACACCTCCCGCTCACAGCCCCTCCCCCATTGGCCTGGCATTTCCCCCATCAGCCCTCCTCTGCCCCGGGCCTGTGCATCTGCCCAGTAGAGCCCCACCCCGAGCTGGCGTGGTCAGCCTCTCTTCGCCAGCAAGTCTCTTCCCACCCAGCGCCAAGGCGAGCCCCCCATGGAGATCAACGCGCATTGCTGGAGACACTGGGGTATCCCGCACAGCCGCCCAGGCTATCTTCAAGAAGCAGGGTAGTGAGGAGGGGCCTACAGGCCCCATCCCAGGACCAGTCTCGCGCCCACCTGATCTCTGGCCACAATTATCGTAGAACCTCAGCATCCAGCAGAGCTGGATTACAGAGTCCCTTAAGGCACCTCCACCGCCCCTCCATAGCCCCAGCATCCTCCCCAGCCTCCCAGTCCAGGGCGGCGCCACCTGGGGACCCTCAGAGGGAAGCTGAATCACCAGGCAGGGCTACCCGCAGCTGCGGAAGTAGGTACCGCCGGCCGGCATCCTTCCCCGGCCAGCAGCCTCTGTCCCGTCCCCTGAGCACTCGGAGCTGACTCATAGCAGAACTTCCTGGGGTCCACCCTGTGCCCTAGCCCCGGCAAGACAGAGCCCTGGTCTGGAAGGCAGAGCAGTTGCCACTGAGCCCTTGCCCCTGTCTCGGTTTTCCCACGGGAACGACAGACGCTCTCTGAGCTCAGGACTGGGTAAATGGCGTGCCTTAGGGCAGAACAGGTCCATCCAGATTCCAGGCCAGGCCTGGCCCTGGCCCCTCTGAGCTCTGAAGTCCAGGGGCACGAGGACCAAGGCCCAGCCATGTGCCCAATACCAGATGTGAGCCTCTTTCCTGTTGTCGGGCTTCCTTCCCTAGGCTTCTGCCCAAGGGGACCCAGCTCACCCCTTGCCTGTTGTCTAACCAGCAAATCCTTGATTACAGCAACCTGTCTGGAGACACAAGCTCTTAAAGGGGGACCGCTGAGCCCAGCCCGCTGCGCCCTCTGGTGGCCAGGCGCGGAATATGGTCCTCAATCCCCATCCCAATCACCGGACGCGGGTTTAAAACCTCCAGCCTCACAGGAGGCCTGCTGAATCACACGCTCTCTGTCATGGGTGGGCCCGGGAATTTACATGGTCACATTTGCCTCTGTAAGTCCGACGCCTGCTGGAGCCTGCAAATCTCTGCTGAATAACCTAAGCTACAGGGCAGGGGGTGCAGATAGGGAAATTTCCAGGACTAAAAAATGGGGGCGTTTAGAGTTTCTCCAGAAAGGGTTGTGGGAAGGAAACTAAGCCAGCCAAAGCAGGCGGCCCCTCTCCACACCCCCTTGCCATTTCCTGAGGAGGAGAAATCTGGGACCCCTAAGGGTTATAATTATCTTTGAGATTTTGTCAGATTTGTTTGTTTGTTTGTTTTCCAAGACCAAGACCGAGTTTTGCTCTTGTTGCCCAGGCTGGGGTACAATGGCGGGATCTCGGCTCACTGCGACCTCCGCCTCCCGGGTTCAGGTGATTCTCCTACCTCAGTCTCCCTAGTAGCTGGGATTACAGGCGTGCACCACCACACCCAGCTAATTTTTGTATTTTTAGTAGAGACAGGGTTTCACCATGTTGGTCAGGCTGGTCTCAAACTCCTGATATCAGGTGATTCACCCGCCCTGGCCTCCCAAAGTGGTGGGATTACAGGGGGAAACCACCACACCCGGCCTGGATTTTGTCAGTTTTCTAGTAAGTTTCCATTAATAAAAAACAACAGGCTGGGTACAGTGGCTCATGCCTATAGTCCCAGCACGTTGAGAGGCTGAGGCATGAGGATCACTTGAGCTCAGGAGTTGGAGACCAGCCTTGGGCAACATCAGGAGTTGGAGACCAGCCTTGGGCAACACAGCAAAGCCTTGTGTTTACAGAAAATACAAAAATGAGCCCGGAGGCTGGCCGAAGTGGCTCACGCCTATAATCCCAGCACTTTCGGAGGCTGAGGCTGGCAGATCACTTAAGGTCAGGAGTTGGAGACAGCCTGACCAACATGGTGAAACCCCGTCTCTACTAAAAATACAAAAATTAGCCGGGTGTGGTGGGGGGTGCCTGTAGTCCCAGCTACTCAGGTGACTGAGGCAGGGGAATCACTTGAACTTGGGAGGCAGAGGCTACAGTGAGCCGAAATCACACCACTGCACTCCAGCCTGGACGAAAGAGCGAGATTCCATCTCAAAAACAAACAAACAAACAAACATGAGCTAGGCTTGGTGGTGTGTCTGCCTGTAGTCCTAGCTACTCAGGGACTTGGGAGCCCAGGAGATGGAGGCTGCAGTGAGCTGAGACTGCACCACTGCACTCCAGCCTGGGTGACAAAGACCCTGTCTCAAAAACATTTTTAAAATTTAATTTAAAAATAATAAGAAAGAAAAAACCAACAACAATAATACATATATATATATATATATATATATTTTTTTTTTTTTTTTTTTGAGATGGAGTTTCGCTCTTGTCACCCCGGCTGGAGTACAGTGGCACAATCTTAGCTTACTGCAACCTCTTCCCCTGCCTGCCGGGGTTCAAGTAATTGTCCTGCCTCAGCCTCCCAAGTACCTGGGATCATAGGCGTGTTCCATCATGCCTGGCTAATTTTTGTATTTTTACTAGAGATGGGGTTTCATCATGTTGGCCAGGCTGGTCTCGAACTCCTGACCTCAGGTGATCCTCCCGCCTCGGTCTCCCAAAGTGCTGGGATTACAGGCATGAGCCACCTCGTCCAGCAACAATAATAATAATTATATATATATATTAATTTTATTTTAGATAAAGAGTTTCACTCTGTCACCCAAGCTGGAATACAAAGGCATAATCTTGGCTCACTGCAACCTCCAACTCCCAGGTTCAATCAATTCTTCTGTCTCAGCCTCCCAAGTAGCTGGAACTACAGGTGCCCACCACCATGTACAGCTAATTTTTGTATTTTTAATAGAGATGGGGTTTTGCCATGTTGGCCCGGCTGGTCTCAAACTCCCGACCTCAAGTGATCCCCGGCCTCAACCTCCCAAAGTGCTCAGATTCCAGGCATGAACCACCGCACCTGGCCAACAATAATGATTTTATGAAACAAAAACACCTTGTACCTTCTTAGAGCTGAGCTGATGGGGAGTGGTTGGCGGTGAAAATCTGTCTCCAAGACCACCATGAAGTGGCTCCCACCTGCCCTGCCTGGTGATGGGTGGCTCTGAGGACAATGGATTAAGCAAGCGAGGCCTGGACAGGCCTTGGTGGAATGGAGAGGACTGCACACTTTGGGGTGAAGGGAGTCTGAGGGCAGAGCCCAAAGCAGGTGGCCCCGCAGCACCATCCTCCATGGGAGCCCAGAAGGGCCAGGGCACATGGGAGGAGGAGGGGCCTGTGGCTTCCTTGGGCCCAGTCTCAGGGGGCAGGGAGGTGGCATGGTACAACGACAAGTGTCGGCACTGGGGTCCAAGTTAGGGAATCTCAGCTCTGCCACCCACAGACACCACCTGCGGCCAGGGTGGAGGGCTTCATCCCATCCACTCCTTACTGTTCCTCCTCGAGGCAGGCGCTGTGTTATTCCAGTTGCAGATGAGAGGGCTTGGGGAGCTGCAGGAAGCAAGGTGCCAGGGGCATGCAGTTTGAGTGGCAGCAGGAGGTTTGGACCTGGTCTCTGTGTGGCTCTAGGGCCTCAGCTTATTTTTTTGACATGGAGTCTCACTCTGTCACCCAGGCTGGAGTGCAGTGGCACAGTCTCGGCTCACTGCAATCTCTGCTGCCTGGATTCAAGCAATTCTCCTGCCTCAGCCTCCCGAGCATCTGGGACTACAGGGGCCTGCCACCACGCCCAGCTATTTTTTGTAGTTTAGTAGAGACAGGGTTTCACCATCTTGGCCAGGCTGACCTCATGATTCACCCACCTCGGCCTCCCAAACCTTTTTTTTTTTTTGAGAGAGGGTCTTGCCCTTTCCCCCAGGGTTGGAGTACAGTGCAGTGGTGTGATCATAGCTCACTGCAGCCTCCAGTTCTTGGGCTCAAGTGATCCTCTTGCCTCAGCCTCTCAAGTTGCTAGGATTACAGGCAGGTGCCACTACTCCTGGCTACTTTAGACCTCAGCTTTTAACCTGCCTTGACCAACAGCCAGCAGGGCTCTCAAGAGGATATTCCCATGTGGAAGAATGGAGGCTAGGGCACTCAACTCCATTCATGGAGAGTGGCAGGGGCTCCTTTGCATTCCTTGGGGTCCACCCAAAAGCCCAGAGTAGTCTGCCCTTGCCCACAGGCTCCCCAAATCCCTCAAATCTGAATGTGCCCTTTGGAGGCCCAGGCTCCAAAGGCTGCTTCTGTGGGAAGCAGGTGATGGAAAGAGGCTTTAGGGGATGGGGAGGTGGGGGCAGAGAATCGATTTCTGGCAACCATGCTGCAAGGCTGTGGGACGGGCCTCTCCTCTTGTCGATGCATGTGCCTAGGCAGATCACTCCTGGGGCCTCAATTTCCCCATGTGTGATCTATGATGGGATCGCATGCTATGTAAACCAAAGCACCATCCCACAGCTGTGTTAGGAAACAGGCTTAGTGAGCGGAAGGGGCTTGTCTGGAACCATTAGAGATCTAAATACAGGCTGACGTAGACCTGCCTCCCAGTCCCAGATGGAGGGCCTCTGTTGGTCAGACTCTCACCCTGTTATGCGGCCATGCACCCAACATGACTGTCCCCTCACCCACACTGTTTCTCGGGATTCCTGCCAATTGTGCCAGACTAGACATCTGAGCCAGTGTCTCAGAGACTCAGTGGCGTGGGACACAAGCTGAGAAAGTAAGAGGGAGCTTGAACTGGAAGGGAGACAAGTCTCTGCCAGGACCATGCCCAGAAGCAGCTGACTGGTGGGAAGGAGGCAGAGAAGGCCTGAGGGCAGGGGAGGTGAAGGAGCTCTGAGCTCCAGCTTCCATTTCACTACCTCCCTTAACTGCCCCTGAGTTTGACGGGCTGGGTCTTTTCAGCAAATATCCTTTTTGTTTTTTGTTTTTGGAGTCTCACTCTGTTGCCCAGGCTGGAGTATAGTGGTGTGATCTGGGCTCACGGCAACCTCCACCTCCGGGGTTCAAGTGATTCTCCTGCCTCAGCCTCCTGAGTAGCTGAGATTACGGGCATCTGCCACCACACCCAACTAAGTTTTGTATTTTTAGTGGAGACAGGATTTTACCACGTTGGCCTTGAACTCCTGACCTCAAGTGATCCGCCTGCCTCTGCCTCCCAAAGTGCTGGGATTACAGGTGTGAGCCACTGTGCCTGGCTTAGCAAATATCTTTTCATTTGAGCAGGATTCAGCAGCTTCCTGCTCCTCAGGGCCAAACACACCCCAACCGTCCCTCCTGGAGGGAGGATCAAACCCAGCTCATGAGCCCCTCAGAGCCCAGTGCAGAGCGGCCCCCTGTAGTTCCCCTTCACTTTCTCTCTAGCCTGGCCTGAGACCTGCCACAACCAGTCTCCCCAACATGGGAGGGGCCTGTGGCTTCCTCAGGCCCAGTCTCAGGGGGCAGGGAGGTGGCATGGTACAACAGCAAGTGTTGGCACTGGGGCGCAAGGTGGGGGAATCTCAGCTCTGCCACCCACAGGCTGTGCGACCGATGGCAAGCTGCCAGCCCCTGAATCTCTGTGCCTCTGCTTCAGGACTGTTAAGGGAGAGTCAGTCATAGGACAAGTCAGTCCTGAATCCTCCCTGAAGTGCTCTCACCATGATTAAGGATGGGCAAGTGAACAAGCAGAGGTTTGGGGTTCTGGGCATAGACATTTCACCTTAAAAATGAGACCGATCGCCGGGCGCGGTGGCTCAAGCCTGTAATCCCAGCACTTTGGGAGGCCGAGACGGGCGGATCACGAGGTCAGGAGATCGAGACCATCCTGGCCATCCTGGCTAACGCGGTGAAACCCCGTCTCTACTAAAAATACAAAAAATTAGCCGGGCGAGGTGGCGGGCGCCTGTAGTCCCAACTACTCGGGAGGCTGAGGCAGGAGAATGGCGTGAACCCGGGAGGCGGAGCTTGCAGTGAGCTGAGATCCGGCCATTGCACTCCAGCCTGGGCGGCAGAGCGAGACTCCGTCTCAAAAAAAAAAAAAAAAAAAAAAAAAATGAGACCAATTGGCCGGGCGCAGTGGCTCATGCCTGTAATCCCAGCACTTTGGGAGGCCGAGGCGGGCTGATCATGAGGTCAGGAGATAAAGACCACCCTGGTTAACACAGTGAAACCCTGTCTCTACTAAAACTACAAAAAAATTAGCTGAGCGTTGTGACGGGAGCCTGTAGTCTCAGCTACTCGGGAGGCTGAGGCAGGAGAATGGTGTGAACCCGGGAGGTGGAGCTTGTAGTGAGCCGAGATCGCGCCACTACGCTCCAGCCTGGGCGACAGAGTGAGACTCCATCTCAAAAAAAAAAAAAAAAAGGCGGGGGGACTGATTTTGCATTTGGCTTCCTGGTACACCTAAGTTTTTTTCAATATAAAATAATGGTTTTTTTTTTTTTTTCTTTCTTTTCTGAGATGGAGTCTCACTCTGTTGTCCAGGCTGGAGTGCAGTAGCGCAATCTTGGCTCACTGCAACCTCCACCTCCTGGGTTCAAGCAATTCTCGTGCCTCAGCCTCCTGAATAACTGGGATTACAGGTGCACCTCCACCACGCCTGAGCTAATTTTTGTATTTTTAGTAGAGACGGTGTTTCACCACGCTGGCCAGGCTGGTCTTGGCCTCCTGACCTCAGGTGATCCTCATCCTCCCAAAATGCTAGGATTACAGATGTGAGCCACAGCACCTGACCCAATGTAAAGAAATATTTTAAATTGCCTACTTCCCCTATCTTCCCAGACCCTAAGTATTTGAAGATGGTGCTCTAGGAGGTTTGATTTGCGGCTTCAAGGACTCCAAGTGTGTCACTATCTCTTCCCAGGCACGTGGACCCAGACCTCATGGGCTGTTCATCAGAGGGTCCCTCTCTGAGGACAGGACCTCTTCCTAGCCTTGGTGGGGTGCAGCATAGGGGGTGCCTGCCTGGGCTGAACCCCACCTTCAAGAGGGCAGCCCAGAGCCCCTAAGCCCCTGACCAATGAGAGGCAAGATCCCCGCGTCGTGGTTGCCAAGGCCTGGGGTGGTGCCCTAATGGTGCCTTGGGGAAGAGCAGGGAGTGAGACCCTAGCTTCGGGGTCCCAAGGCTCCAGTTGAGTTGGGGTTCTGCCATACGATTATAACCATCATCGAAGCCTCTTATTTTCAGTATTTTAGTGGAGGAGCTGCGAGGCTGTCCCAGGCCAGGTCTGTGTCCCTGAGCCAGGTTCCCACAGCCTCACTGCCTAGTCTGTGACCTTGCTGAGTCACTTTTCCTTTTTGAGCACCAGTTTCCTGATTTTTTTAAATTTTTTTTTTATTTTTTTTATTTTTGAGACAGAGTTTCACTCTTGTTGCCCAGGCTGGAGTGCAATGGCGCGATCTCGGCTCACTGCAACCTCCGCGTCCAGGGTTCAAGCAATTCTCCTGCCTCAGCCTCCCGAGTAGCTGCGATTACAGGCACGCAACATCACACCTGGCTAATTTTTTGTATTTTTAGTAAAGATGGGGTTTCACTATGTTGGCCAGGCTGGTCTCGAACTCCTGACCTTGTGATCCACCTGCCTCGGCCTTCTAAAGTGCTGGGATTACAGGCATGAGCCACCATGCCCGGCCTCCCAGTTTCCTGATTGGTAAAGCAGGATAAAAATGAAAATATCAGCAACCTCATAAAGTTGTTCAAGATAGTATCTAGCAAGTGAGTGCTCAGCAGATAGTAGTGAGTGCTCAGTCAGTAGTAGTCAATGTCGTCAGTGCTGGCATTCCCATCACTCCCCCAATGCCCAGAGATGGCTCAGCCACCCTCCACTCCTCCCCGATGGGGTTACTTCCCCCTTCTCTTGTCCCTACCCCTGCACCTGAGGAGTATGAGGCACTAGGCCACTGCAGCAGGTCCACAGGCCATCAATGCTTTAATTTTGTCAGAGGCGGGCACTGAGCACCCTGCCGAGGTCTCCCCAGCTACTGTGCCACAACCAGCTCGGAGCTGCCACTCTAATAGCAGAGTGGAGAGCTGGGGTCAGGGCCATAGCCCCTAGGCTGAGGAGGCCTTCTTGCAGGACCCCAACCACAGAACAAGTGGTCCTCACAACACCTGCGGCCTGCAGACTCCTTTTCCTTCTGCCAAGGAGTCTGAGATGCTTCATGCCCATCAGACCATGGGGTGGCCTTCGTGGGAGACCTGCAGGGCCAGGCTGGCCAGACCTGGCCAGAAAGACTTCCCAGGGAAGGTGCTTGGCTCCCTGTTCCAGGGTAGGCCATGGTGTAGGGCCCTCGAAGGGGTTGTGGCTGGGGTGATCCCAGGGGGCATTGCTCCAAGTGCACAGGAGGTGGCAGCAGGATCAGGCAAGTTCCCGTTCCAGGGACATCAGGAGGGAGGGTAGAAGCCCAGGGAGTGTGCGAGGCTGCTGGGATGAGGGAGTTCAGGGGCTACCAGCTAACCAGCCTCAGCTCAATGGTTTCTCCATCCTTGGGTCTGTAGTCAGCAATACCTGCAGAAACAGATTGAGCAAGGCGGGGTGAACTGGGCAGAATATTGTACCCTGCAACCTCATCTTCCAGTCTCCCAACCCTGAGGCCAGGTTCTATAAGAATCCACCCGGGGCTTGGTGGTGAGAAGCTGGAACCTCCCCAAAGCCTGCTCAAACACTCTGAACTCAGCTTCCTAAAGGGTTCCTGAGGCCACGGGCTCATCTGGCAATAAAAACACCTGACAGGAAGGGTCGCTATCTTTGTAACACCCTAGGGGCCATCGGGAAGAGAAACTTGCGCAGTGTGGTCTGGAGAGGGAACCAGGACCACGCATGAAGTCTCCCGGGAGTCAGCCTTCACTCACTACAGAGAATCCAGGCTCTAGGAGGATGCCTGGATTCAAGCCCCAGCTCTGTCATTCATTACTGCTGTGACTCTGGACAAGTTATTTAACCTCTGAGTGAGTGAGTGTTGGTGCGCTTGTTGGTTAGGTGGGAATGCAGCCTGCAGGGGAGCTGAAAGGGCCCTCTGAGAGAGCCAGGTGTCAGAAATGTTCCCTTTCAATGGAGGTGCTATGATCCAAAATGTCTGCGTCGCCCCAAAATTTAAATGTTAAAACCTAACCTCAAAGGTGATGGGATCAGGAGGCCTTAGGGCCTTTGGGAGGTGATTAGGTCATGAGGGTAGAGCCTCATGAATGGGATAGGAAAGTGCCATTATAGGCCGAGCAGGGTGGCTCACACCTGGAATCCCAGCACTTTGGGAGGCCGAGGCAGGTGGATCACTTGAGCTCAGGAGTTCAAGACCAGCCTAAGCAACATGGTGAAACCACATCTCTATCAAAAATACAAAAAACTAACTGGGCTTTGTGGCATAGGCCTATGGTCACACCTACTCAGGAGGCTGAGGTGGGAGGATTGCTTAAGCCTGGGAGGCGGAAGTTGCAGTGAGCTGAGATCGTGATACTGCACTCAGCGTGGGTGACAGAGTGAGACCCCCATCTCAAAAAAAAAAAAATATTTTTTAACTACCATTATAAAAGAGGTTCCTTCACCAGGCAAGGGCCAGGAACATATTTTTTAAAGAAATTTAAAAAGAGGCCCCAGAGGCCTGTCGTGGGGTGGGGGGAGGGGGAAGGGATAGCATTAGGAGATATACCTAATGTAAATGACAAGTTAATGGGTGCAGCACACCAACATGGCACGTGTACACATATGTAACAAACCTGCATGTTGTGCACATGTACCCTAGAACTTAAAGTATAATAAAAATAAAGAAAGAAAAAAAGAAAAAAAAAGAGGCCGCAGAGAGTTGCCTTGTCCCTTCTACCATGTGAGAACACAGGCAGCAGGTACCACCAGAAAGTGGGCCCTCATCAGACACTGAATCTGTCGGTGTCCTGATCTTGGACTTCCCAACCTCCAGAACTGTAAGAAATACATTTCTGTTATTTAATTTAATTTAATTTTTATTTTATTTTATTTTGAGATGGAGTTTCACTCTTGTCGCCCAGGCTGAAATGCAGTGGTGTGGTCTCAGCTCACTGCAACCTCCATCTCCTGGGTTCAAGCGATTCTCCTGCCTCAGCCTCCCGAGTAGCCGGGATTACAGGCGCCCGCCACCACCCCCAGCTAATTTTTTGTATTTTTAGTAGAGACGGGGTTTCACCATGTTGGTCAGGCTGGTCTTGAACTCCTGACCTCAGGTGATCCACCCGCCTCGGCCTCCCAAAGTGCTGGGATTACAGGCATGAGCCACTGTTTTCTGCTGTTTATAAGCCACCTAGTTTATGGTATTTTGTAATAGCAGCTTCAATGGACTAAGACAAAAGGGAACTCAAATTATAACTCTCATCCACTTTCCACCCCAAGGAAGATAGAGGAGTGATTTATGCAACTGGTTGATTTGGGAAGAATAAACTAGGCATGTGTAGCCTGGGCTCTCTCTGTTTTTCTACTGGGAGTGGGCTTCCTGCTAGACTTAAGGGCAGAGTGGGTAGGAGGTAGAGGCTACAACTGCCCAGGTCTGCTTCCTGGCTGGGTCCACCTAGCTCTCACCCTAAGCTACATCCTCCTGTCTTTATCAGTAATAGAACTGGCCAGACTTGGGGTCTCCATCTGTAGCTCCTATTTTTTATTTCCCAATTTATTCAGAATGAGAGCAAGAAGAAAGAATGCTTTTTAGTGGGCTCCCTCAGAAAGTCCCACCTTCTCGAAAGCACTCGCCACAATGCTTGACATATGGTAAGTGCCCCATAAAAGTTCTTTAGGGGTGGAATATAAAGGCAACTTAAGTAGCAAGAGTAGGGACAGATGACCTTTAAGGGTCTGTTTGCAGGCCAGGCGCGGTGGCTCACACCTGTAATTCCAGCACTTTGGGAGGCTGAGGCGAGCAGGTCACTTGAGGTCAGGACTTTGAAACCAGCCTGGCCAACATGGTGAAACCCTGTTGCTACTAAAAATACAAAAATTAGCTGGGCATGGTGGCACACGCCTGTAATCCCAGCTACTTGAGAGGTTGAGGCAGGAGAATCACTTGAACCCAGGAGGCAGAGGTTGCAGTGAGCTGAGACCTCGCCATTGCACTCCAGCCTGGGCAACAGAGCAAGACTCCATCTCAAAAAAAAAAAAAAAAAAAATATATATATATATATATATATATATATATATATATGTATGTATATGTATATAAAAGTTTTACCAAGTAGAAATTTTAAAATTATACATGTGGGCAACATTTTATTTCCACTGGATAGCAAGGCTCCACTTTTTTATGAAAAACTTACTGGCATATTTTTTAAAGTATCTAGAGGAAAAATTAAGTAATTTTGGCAGGGCATGGTGGCTCATGCCTATAATCCCAGAACTTTGGCAGGCAGAGGCAGGCAGACCGCTTGGGCTCTGGAGTTTGAGACCAACTTGGCCAACATGGTGAAACCCCATCTCTACCACACATAGAAAAATCAGCCGGGCATGGTGGCGTGTGCCTGTAGCCCCAGCTACTCAGGAAGCTGAGGTGGGAGGATCGCTTGAACCCGGAAGGTTGAGGCTACAGTGAGCTGAGATTGTGCCACTGCACTCTAGCCTCGGTGACAGAGCAAGACGTATCTCAAAACAAAAACAAAAACAAACAAACAACAACAACAACTCACGCCTATAATCCCAGCACTTTGGGAGGCTGAGGCTGGTGGGGATCACCTGAGGTCAGGAGTTCAAGAACAACCTGGCCAACATGGTGAAACCCCATCTCTATTAATAATACAGAACAATTAGCTGGGCATGGTAGCAGGCACCTGTAATCCCAGCTACTAGGGAGGCTGAGGCGAGAGAATCACATGAACCCAGGAGGTGAAGGTTGCAGTGAGCCAAGATCGCACCACTGCACTCCAGCCTGGGCAACAAGAGCGAAACTCCGTCTCAACAAAAAAAAAAAAAAAAAAAGAGAGAGAGAGAGACGTTATTCTTACGTAGGAGGAATTCTAGGTGATTTAAATTTTCTTCTAGTTCTTTTTTTTTTTTTTTAATAATCTATTTAGTTTCGTAGAATTTCCACAATAACTTACATAAAAATTCTAAGACTTCAGTTCAATATATTACATCCAACTTTGAGCATCATTGATTTTGTGAAGCTGTGGCCCAGGAGGGTGCTAGGGAAAGCTGGGGTAAGTTGATGAAGCCTCTTGGCTGGGTAAACTTGGGGTAGGGGGCACGTCCAGGGTGTCAGGCCACGACTCACCTTGCAACAGGGGCGTGTCGGGGTCTCGGAGGAGCTGCCAGAACTCCCTTTCCCCAGCCGCTTTCCCCATCACGGAGGTCAAGTAGGGGCCTGACAAGGAGGCCTGTGTTTCATATCTACAAAAGGGAAAGGCAGAGAGAGAGAAGAGGCGGCTGTCGTCCCTAAGGGCAGAGGCAGAACTCACCCACAGCAGGAAAATCCTCTCCAAGCTCTTTGGGCCAACACTAGTCAAACCCTTTCCAGGCCACCTAGCCACAGGTCTGTGGTCTCAACTCCTTCCCCTCCAGACCCCCGATCCTGCCTGCTCAGGCTTCATCCTCTCCACGCTGACCATGACCATGGCCTCCAGGAAAGGGGCATCTATTATGTTATCAGCTCAGCAGTTGTCCCCTCTCTGGGGGGCTGATGTTATGGGGCATGAGAATCAGAAGCTGCCAGTGTCACCTAGAATGTGTACAATGTACAATGAGAGAAGGTGAAGCCTGCATGCAGAGAGAGGGAGGGTCATGGGAAATGGAGGCAGAGACACCTGGCAGTGGCACTGGGTCTCTGTGGCTCAGTGGCATTCCCCTCTTCTTGGGGCTGCATGGCTCAGCTACCTCTCTGATTCTACATGCTCTACACCCACTGTTGTGGAGAGGGTTGGAGTTCAATTTCTGGCCCTGGCAGCCAAGAGACTCCTCACTCACACTCCCTCTTTCCTGAGCTTCTGGCCTCCAACTTTGAGTTTCTCCACTCTGTCTGGATGCCACTGCCACAGGAAGTCTCTTGAAACTCTGTGAGCCTGGGCCAGGCACAGCAGCTCAAGCCTGTAATCCCAGCACTTTGGGAGGCTGAGGCAGGCAGATCACCTGAGGTCAGGAGTTCGAGACCAGCCTGACCAACATGGAGAAACCCCATCTCTACTAAAAATACAAAATTAGCCGGGTGTGGTGGTGCATGCCAGTAATCCCAGCTACTGGGGAGGCTGAGGCAGGAGAACCACTTGAACCCGGGAGGTGGAGGTTGCGGTAAGCCGAGATCGCACCATTGCACTCCAGCCTGGGCAACAAGAGCGAAACTCCATCTCAAAACAAAACAAAACAAACTGTAGGCCAGGTCCTTCGTCCCTCCCACAGGAGGAAGCAGCACGATCAGGGCTTCCCCTGGAAGAGTGGCTTGAAGAGATGAGTGGGATTTGCCAGAGGAGAAGGGAGGAGAGCGGGGCAGAGCCGAGAGGAGGCAGAGAGAAGAAAGGCACACAGGTGCACAGAATTTGGGGGAATGGTCTTTCAAAAGAGCGGGGTCAGGCCAGGCACGGTGGCTCATGCCTGTCATCCCAGCACTTTGGGAGGCCGAGGCGGGTGGATCACTTGAGGTCAGGAGTTCGTGACCAGCCTGGACAACATGGTGAAACCCCATCTCTACTAATAACACGAAAATTAGGCTGAGTGTGGTGATACAAGCCTGTAATCCCAGCTATTCAGGAGGCTGAGGCAGGAGAATTGCTTGAACCTAGTAGGCGGAGGTTGCAGTGACCTGAGATCACACCACTGCACTCCAGCCTGGGTGACAGAGCAAGACTGCTTCTCAAAAACAAAAGCAAACAAACAAACAAACAAAAAATAACAACAAATGAGCGGGTTCTGGGAGAATGCAAATGAATGAAAAGGAGGTGAGACCATCGAGGTAACGGAGGAGTGAAGTGAACGGATGCATCTTCCAGAAAGTACCCTCTGGGGTAATACAGCCCTGGAGGGTAGAGGTTGCAGTGAGCTGAGATTGTGCCACTGCACTCCAGCCTGGGCGACACAGTGTAACTCCCTCTCAAAAAAAAAAAAAAAAGAAAGAAAGAAACACAAATCTATTTGGGGTGACTTAAGCGAAGGGAAAGTACTGTTCTAAGGAATGTCACAGAGTAGCCCTTTTCCCGTTCCTTAACTCTGCAGGGCCATGTGCTGCACAGGGCCACCTCTCTCCACATCTGTCTATCTGTCTATCTGCAGTAGAGCTTTCTCTGCTGTGCATTCAGGGGCCTCAAATGCAGTCTTCATGCCTGAACCCGGTTCCGGCATCCACACACATTAACAAGAGAACCATTTCTCAGACTGGAGTCCACAGTGTCTTCCCAGAGGTCCCTGAGCTCTGAATAAAAATGTTAAATTCAAATTGTCTTTCATTTTGCTGACAATATTCAAACCCGAATACCAGCCGGTTCTGGGTAATCTCAGTCTGTGGGTCTCAGCCCTCCCAAGGGCACTCAGCCTGTGTGTGGCCATCAGTGACTGCGCTGGTGCCCAGCAGTATTGCGCTATGTGCCATAGGCCACCAGGAAGGGAAGGGAGGTGGCCCTCATAGTGAATGAAGTGGCTGAGCCAGGGCAGGAGTGCTCAGGCTTCACTGCAGCTCAAATACAGGGAGGTACTAAAGTGCAGGCCGGCGCCTCTGCAGAGCGTCCTTATTTGAATGGTATTGGTTTTTATACTTTTCTATTTAATTTACAAAGTTGTTGGGGATTTAAAGCTGCCTAGTGCTAGAAAGAGAAAGGACTTTTTTGTGTGTGGTAGAGGCAGGGTTTCGCCATATTGGCCTGGGTGGTTTTGAACTACTGGCCTCCAGTGATCTGCCCGCCTTGGCCTCCCAAAGGGCTGGGATTACAGGTGTGAGCCATCACACTCAGTCTTTTTTTTTTTTTTTTTTTTTAAAGACAGAGTCTTCTTCTGTCATCCAGGCTGCAGGACAGTGACATCATCATAGCTCACTGCAGCCTTGAACTCCTGAGCTCAAGCTGTCCTCCCACCTCAGCCTACTGGGTAGCTAGAACTACAAGTGCACACCATCATGCCCAGCTAATTAAAAAAATTTTGGGGGGCCGGGCACGGTGGCTCATGCCTCTAATCAGTACTTTGGGAGGCTGAGGTGGGTGGATCACTTGAGGTCAGGAGTTCGTAACCAGCCTGGCCCACATGGTGAAACCCAGTTTCTACTAAAAAAATACAAAAATTAGCCAGGCATGGTGGCACACGCTTGTAATCCCAGCTACTTGGGAGGCTGAGGCAGGAGAATCGCTTGAATCCAGGAGGTGAAGGTTGCAGTGAGCCGAGATTGCACCACTGCACTCCAGCCTGGGCAACATAACAAGACTCCACCTTAAAAAAAAAAAAAAAAATTGTAGAGATGGCAGTCTCACTATGTTGCCCAGGCTGGTCTTGAACTCCTGGGCTCAAGTGATCCTCCTGCCTCAGCCTCCCACATCACTGGAATTATAGGAGTGAGCCACCACCTCTGGCCAAAGACTTTATATTTAGTAAACATATCAGTACACATCTAAGTCATATTACAGAAGAAATAACTCAACCTGGGGTCTGGGAGAATTTTTGTACTTTGGAGGAGTCTTTGCATATCTCTGGTCTGAGATTCCCTGGCCTAGAGGACCTGAAGAACCCAATTGTGGGCCCTCCCTGGATGCAGGATGCTGTTCTCCAGGAACTCCCACTGGGGACAGAAATTGGCGCCCATTGGGAACAGAAACAGGTCCATGATTCTAGGGGAGAAGTCTGTGGTCTGCGTGACCTGGTGGAAGGCACTCAACTTCTCTGGGCTGGACTCCCTACTGATAACATGAGAATTACATTCATCTTATTTCATCATGGGCAGGACCTAGTATCAAATAGCAGTCCAGACATGCTCATTCTCAGACTGGTCTAAGCTCAGGGTGAGAAGCAAATGTAAGGACATTGTCCAACCTCCTTGAGGTAATTAATAAAAGGATTGGGCCAAACTTATTTCATAATAAAAGTTCTTATTCTGGCCAGCCACGGTGGCTCACGCCTGTAATCTCAGCACTTTGGGAGGCCAAGGTCGGTAGATCACTTGAGTCCAGGAGTTTGAGACCAGTCTGGGCAACATGGAGAAATCCCATCTCTACAAAAAATTAAAAAAAAAAAATTTGCCAGGCGTGGTGGCGCATGCCTGTAGTTCCCAGCTACCTGGGAGGCTACGGTGGGAGGATCATCTGATCCTGGAAGGTTGAGGCTGCAGTGAACTGTGATTGTGCCACTTCGCGCTAGCCTAGGTGACAGAGTAAGACCCTGTCTCAAATAAAGTTGAGATATAATAAAAGTTCTTATTCTGGGCCAGGCACAGTGGCTCACGCCTGTAATCCTGGCATTTTGGGAGGCTGAGGCAGACAGATCACTTGAGGTCAAGAGTTCAAGACCAGCCTGGACAAAATGGCAAAATCCCATCTCTACTCAAAATATAAAAATTAGCCAGGTATGGTGGTGCATGCCCATAGTCTCAGTTACTCAGGAAGCTGAGGAAGGAGAATCGCTTGAACCCGGGAGATAGATGCTGCAGTGAGCTGAGATTGTGCCACTGCAACCCAGTCTGGGCGACAGAGGGAGACTCCATCTCAAAAAAAAGTAGATGGGTGTGGTGGTGCATACCTGTAGTCCCTGCTGCTTGGGTAATTTGAGGCTGCAGTGAGCTATGACTGTGCCACTGCACTTCAGCCTGGGTAACAGAGCAAGACCTTGCCTAAATAAATACATGGCCGGACGCAGTGGCCCATGCCTGTAATCCCAGCACTTTGGGAGGCCAAGGCAGGCAGATCACCTGAGGTCATGAGTTAGAGACCAGCCTGGCCAACATAGTGAAACCCCATCTCTACTAAAAATACAAAAATTAGCTGGGCATGGTGGTACACGCCTGTAGTCCCAGCTACTCAGGAGGCTGAGGCAGGAGAATCACTTGAACCCAGGAGATGGAGTTTGCAGTGAGCCGAGATCGCGCCACTGCACTCCAGCCTGGGCAACAGAGGGAGACTCTGTCTCGAAATAAAAAAATAAATAACCATCCTGGCTAACACGGTGAAACCCCGTCTCTACTAAAAAATACAAAAAGCTAGCCGGGCGAGGTGGCGGGCGCCTGTAGTCCCAGCTACTCGGGAGGCTGAGGCAGGAGAATGGTGTGAACCCGGGAGGCGGAGCTTGCAGTGAGCTGAGATCTGGCCACTGCACTCCAGCCCGGGTGACAGAGCGAGACTCCGTCTCAAAAAAAAATAAATAAATAAAATAAATAAATAAATAAATAAATGGGCCGGGCGCGGTGGCTCAAGCCTATAATCCCAGCACTTTGGGAGGCCGAGATGGGCGAATCACGAGGTCAGGAGATCGAGATCATCCTGGCTAACACGGTGAAACAACGTCTCTACTAAAAAAATACAAAAAACTAGCCGGGCGTGGTGGCAGGCGCCTGTAGTCCCAGCTACTCGGGAGGCTGAGGCAGGAGAATGGCGTAAACCCGGGAGGCGGAGCTTACAGTGAGCTGAGATCTGGCCACTGCACTCCAGCCTGGGCGATAGAGCGAGACTCGGTCTCAAAAAAGATAAAAAATAAATAAATAAATAAATAAATAAATAAAAATAAATACACAGACACAAGTTGGGCCTCCAGAGCCTGGGTAACAGAGTGACACTCTGTTTCAAAAAAAAAAAAAAGTTCTTACTCTGGCTAAGCATGATGGCTCGCACCTGTAATCCCAATATTTTGAGAACCTGAGGTGTGAGGATAGTTTGAGGCCAGGAATTTGAGACCAGCCTGGGCAACAGAGAGAGACCCTAGCTAAAAAAAAAAAAAAAAAAAAAAAAAAAATTAGCATTAGCCAGGGATGGGTGGCACGTGCCTATTGTCTCAGCTATTCGGGAGGCTGAGGCAGGACAGTAGAGTTGCTTCATCCCCAGAGTTTGAGGCTGCAGTGAGCCGTGATTGCACCACTACACTCCAGCCTGGGTGACAGAGTGAGACCCTGTCTTTTAAAAACAAACAAACAAACAAAAAGCAGTTCTCACTCTGATGAAAGCAACGCTGTGTTGAGCGCTTGCTACGTGCTGGAACTTGCACATATAAAAAGCACATGCCACCATCTCTATGTGTACTAACTCCCGGACTCCTCATACTGGCCCTGCAGGGAGGGGGCACAACTGTTCTCCTCAGTGAATTGTGGGTGCCTACCTGGAACCTAGCTGGTTAGAGCTGGGATTCCAACTGGGGGGTTCTGCCTCCAGAGCCTGCTCTCTCAATGACAATGCTGGCCTATGGCTCCCTGTTTCCATAACACCATGGGCAACAAAGGAGTGGAGCAGGTAGAAGCAAAAGCAGGGCCAGTGTCTCTCCCGAGGGAACCCTCTCCTCTGTCCCCTGTCTCTTCCGTGACCCTGTATCAGGCATGTGGGGCTGGGGTGGGGGTGAGGACTGGGAGGTGGGAGTCTCACGTGAATCCTCCTAACTCATGGGCCTTCTTCAGGACATCTTCCACGGTGGACCCGGCAAGAACAGAGATGGATTGTCTGTATGGCAGCAAGAGGCTAAGCACCTGCAGTGTGACACTGATAACCTCTTGGGTCTGAGGAATGGTCTCGGCAGCTGGTTCCAACATGACTGTGCCAGGGAGAAAGGAAGGGGTAGTTGGTGTGAGGACAGGGATCCTGGATATTTGTCTTCCTGTCTTCCCTCAAAGACATCTGGACCTTGTCCTTCCCCAAGTCCTCATCTCCATCAATGCCACCACCACCTGCTCAGCTGAAACCTGGCTTCCATCCCAGCCTCCCCTGTCCCTCATTCCCCACATCTCCCACCACCCAAGATCAGGCCCCTCACTGGTTCCTCTGCTTCCAGTATCCTTCCTCCCACCTCTCTGGCACCTAGCACTCCAGAGGGCTCTTTCTAGAACATGTATTTGTTCACAATGCGTCTCTGTTACCCTGATGGGCTCACCTCCCCTTCATTCATCTGCCTTCCACTCCGTCATTCTCCCAGATCCCATTCTTTTGCAAGACGATTCCTCAAAATTCCTTCAAACTCTGTGCACCTCTGTGTCTTTGTTCTTGCTGCCTCTTCTCGGCTCTACTCTATCCATTCTTGTTTTTTTTTTTTGGAGACAGAGTCTCATACTGTCGCCCAGGCTGGAGTGCCATGGCGCGATCTCGGCTCACTGCAACCTCTGCCTCCCAGGTTCAAGTGATTCTTGTGCCTCAGCCTCCCTAGTAGCTGGAATTATAGGCATCAACCACCACACCTGGCTAATCTTTTGTATTTTAGTAGAGACAGGGTTTCACCATCTTGCCTAGCCTGGTCTCAAACTCCTGGGCTCAGGCAATCCACCCGCCTCAGCTTCCCAGAGTGCTAGGATTACAAGCACGAGCCGCCGTGTCCAGCCTCCTTCTTCTCCATTCTTTTCTTCTTTTTTATGTTTTTTTTTAAATTTTTTATTTATTTATTTATTTTTGAGACAGAGTCTCACTCTGTCACCCAGACTGGAGTGCAATGGCGCAATCTCAGTTCACTGCAACCTCCACCTCTGGGGTTCAAGTGATTCTCTTGCCTCAGCCTCCTGAGTCGCTGGGATTACAGGCACTCGCCACCACACCCAGCTACTTTTTTGTATTTTTAATAGATGGAGTTTTGCCATGTTAGCCAGGCTGGTCTTAAACTCCTGACCCCAGGTGAGCCACCTGCCTTGGCCTCCCAAATTGTTGGGATTACAAGCATGAGCCATTGCACCTGGCCTCCTTCTCCATTCTTAATTGGCAAATCCAATCACCTCCTTAGCCCCTTTCTCAGAGGAAGCCTGGATCATGCTGCTACTGGGGCTTATCATGTTGTATTAGAGTTAACCAAAATGTGTCTCTCCTCATTCATTCCTTCATTCATTCATCCATTCACTCAAACATGTCTGTACTGGGTATCACACAAGCGGTATGCCCAGGGCTCTCCATTTAATGTCTTCCTCCCCACACTGTCAGCTTCCAGAAGCTGTGACCACATTTTGGCTGCTGTGTCCCATGCACACCCACAAACTTGTGCAGACTCAGCAAATCAGGACGAAGCACCCTCCCCTCACTGGGACGTCAACGCGTGCGCAGCAGATTGTAAAGGGCTGTGCTTCCACAAAAGGCTGGGCTACCTCGTGGTGCCAGGCAGTCTGGGAAGATCAGATCAATGTAGGTCTTGTGGTTCAGAACAGGCAGCAGCTGGGAAATCATGAGAGCATTCTGGAAGGCTCCGTCCTGCAGACTGGCCAACAAAGCAACGCTCGCCTTGAGACATGCTGTTCCCAGCTCTGCCCCAGGCATGGAGGAGGTCATGAGCAACTGGTGATAGAGTGGGGAAGAGAGGGAGGAGGTCAGCCGGTGGGGAGGGGCTAGGTGCTCCAGCCCCTGAACACTCCCCGCTCACTGTTCCCCAGGGTGGCCATGGCTCCAGAGTCTCTTTCCCACCTGTAATGCCAATGGGGTGCTGTAGACATTCCCAAAGTGGCCCTTGGGGGTCTGGGCCTTCAAGATCTTCTCTCGTACCGTCTTGATGGCCATGGTGATCCGTTGTCTCCGACGAGGGTTGAAGTTTGAGCGCTTCAGACAGGTGAATGCCAAGCCTGCCATGGCAGCTGTGTCTTGAAGGGGGGAACAGAACACGTGATGAGCTGGAGAGCCAAGGGGCCAGGACAGGTGGGGGCTTAAGAGTCAGGCCCTTGTAGCTATGGGCAACCACAGGAGGGCTTGGAGAAGAAGGGCAACATGGTCAGATCAGCTGAGGGCACCAACTCAACCTGGTCTGCCCAAGACTTTCCTTGTCTGGACCCTGAAAATCCTATGTCCCAGGAAACTGCTCATTTCTGGGCAAACTGGTTTGGCTGATCACTCTGCAACTTGAGGGCTAGAGATTAGGGAGAAGGACTGGAGGAGGGAGGCCCGAGAGGACTTGACCCTATACCACCTATTTCCAAACTTGGCCACACGTTGGAATCACTAGGGGAGTTTTATTTTATTTTTTTATTTTTTGAGACAGAGTCTCACTCTGTTACCCAAGGCAGCGGTGTGATCTCTACTCACTGCAGCCTCCGCTTCCCAGGTTCAAGTGATTCTGCTGCCTCAGCCTCCCGAGTAGCTGGGACTATAGGCATGTGCCACCATGCCCAGCTAACTTTCGTATTTTTAGTAGAGATGGGGTTTTACCATGTTGTCTGGCCTGGTCTTGAACTCCTGGCCTCAAGATATCCACCTACCAGCTCCAAAGCTGACTCACAGCTGGAGCATCACCCATGAGCCCCACCAATTCACCCCTAAAAGACTTGATACGGAGGGGTCCCAAGGAAAGGTGAGTGTGGGGCCAGGGTATGGAGGTCATCAGTGCAGGCCTGGGGACTGAGGGAGTGCCAGCCTGGCCTCGGTAGGGTCTGACCTACTCACCCACAGAGTGGTGGCCCTGGTGGAGAGGTTCCACAGCATACAGGAGTTTGTCTACCACGCTGCCATGGACCCGCTTCTTGTGGAGACACAGGGCCAGAATGCCCAGGCCATACTGGTAGTAGCTAGTGTGGGGGTGGCCCTTGTGATCATGGCCTCGGAGGGAAAAAAAAACCAAGTGGTTGCCTCTCTGCCCCCAACCAGCAGCCAGCCCCAGCAGCGCATGGGACCCCTGGTCTGCACTTTCCAATACACTCCTTTGGGTCATGGGATCCTTCATTCCTTCACTGCCTCAGCCCATACGTGCTGAGGTCTCACTGTGCATCTCACTGGGCTTAGAGGAAGCAGGAGACCCATGGCAGATGGGCACTGCGCAGTTCAGGCCTCAACCATAGCAATTGCTCATGAGACTGCAATCGTAATGGGAATGCAGACCAAGTAGTGATATTTGGGTGGCTGGGAAGTCAAGACAGGATCCTCCAAGGAAGTAATGCTGGAGAGGGCTGGGGATGGGTGGAGGCAGAGCCAAAGGTAGAGCAGGAGTGAACTGCACGTCGGGGAGCCAGTCCAGATGGAGGGAGCCTGTATGAAGATACCGGCTTATGAGTTGAGAAATGAGAAAGAGCCGTATGGCCGGAGCCCACAGAGGGCAGGTGTGTGTGGGAGGCAGAAAACAGATGAGCAGAGCTGGGGAGAAGGCAAGGTAGACAGGCTGGGCCACAGAGCAGTGAGGGGCCCCTGCAGAGTTTAAACAGTGCCAGCAAGATCAGGTTTATATTGAAAAGGCTGGCTCTGGCTGTTGTGTGCTGGGTCAAGTCAGGGCAGGAGAGCTAGTAGAGACAAAGGCGTAAGTCATAAGCAGGCTGTCCAGTTGTCCCGAAGGTGGATAATCAAGTCAATCTTGGTGGCTTCCCAATACAAGACTTGCCAATGGGCCGGGCACAGTGGCTGATGCCTGTAATCCCAGCACCTTGGGAGGCTGAGGCAGGCGGATCACCTGAGGTCGGGAGTTCAAGACCAGCCTGACCAACATGGAGAAACCCCATCTCTACTAAAAATACAAAATTAGCTGGGTGTGGTGGTGCATGCCTGTAATCCCAGGTACTCGGGAGGCTAAGGCAAGAGAATCGCTTGAACCCAGGAGGCGGAGATTGCGGTGAGCTGAGATCATACCATTGTACGCCAGCCTGGGCAACAAGAACAAAAATCCGTCTCAAAAAAAAACCAAAAAACACAAAACAGAAAACACCTGTCAATAGAGTGTGTGCAGCGTGGGAAAGGCTGGATCAAGGATGACTATGGGGACAGGTTCAAGCCTTGACGTGGGCAGTGAGACGGGCAGAATGGATGGTGGGAAAGACGCCTGGGGAGAAAACCCAAAGTTCTGATTTTCACTAGAGAATATCATCTGATGAGCCCTCCCAGGTGCTCCCCACCCCCAGCCAATGGTGTCTGCTCACCAATGGCCCGCTTCTCATCCTCCAGGAACCGCTTGAGCTGTGAGACCAGCCTGTCCCCCTTGTGGCCCCCAACAAACTCGCAGTTGGCCCTGAGAGCGAGCAGGTAGAGGGCCAGCTGGCCCATGGAAGGCTTGCCGTGGCAGTCACTGTCATCCTCGCTGAAGGCAGACCTAGGACAAGGCCAGTTAATGGCTTTGTGAGAAAGTGCCACGCAGTAAGCCTGCTTGGAGCGCCCACCCCACCAGCATCACAAAGTGGAAAAAATCTTAACAGTGGGAAGCGTTAATAAAAGCACCAAAAGTAGGTGTGTTAGCTATATTGTTGTGAGGTGTATGCCACAAATATTTAATAAAGATGAACAATTAGATTCAAGGATAAACTCCGAGGGCTCCTGCATCCAAATCACCTGTGCCTGCCCCACTATTTTGTCCATACTTCACCCACATGCCCCCTCCTTTCTTTTTAATTTTTTTATTTTATTTATTTATTTTCTTTGAGACAGAGTTTCGCTCTTGTTGCCCAGGCTGGAGTGCAGTGGTGCGATCTCAGCTCACCTCAACCTCCGCCTCCCGAGTTCAAGTGATTCTCCTGCCTTGGCCTCCCGAGTAGCTGGGATTACAGGCGTGAGCCATCATGCCCGGCCAGATTTTTATTTTTTTTACTGAGATAGGATCTCACTGTCTCCCAGGCTGGAGTACAGTGGTGCCATCATAGCTCATTGTAGCCTTGTTCTCCTGGCCTCAAAAGATCCTCCCACCTTAGCCTCCGGAGAAGCTGGGACCACAGGCATGTGTCACTACGCCTAGCTAATTTTTTTTAATTTTTGTTTCTTTCTTTCTTTTTTTTTTTTAAGAGACGTGGTCTCAATATGTTGCCTAGGCTGGTCTCGAACTCCTGAGCTCAAGCAATCCTCCTGCCTCAGCCTCCCAAAATGTTGGGATTACAGGTATGAGCAACTATGCCTGGCCTTCTTTTCTTGCCACCCCTGCATCCACTTCTCAAGAGGGAGTCTGAGGAAGAGGCGCTTCATGGCTGCCCCTGATTATTTACCTCTCATTCAAACTCCAAAACAGGCCTCTCTGTAATGCCTCTTGAAAAGGGAGTACAGAAAGATGCTGCTTTTGGGTTGGTGCAGTGGCTTATGCCTATAATTCCAACACTTTGGGAGGCCAAGGCAGGCAAATTACCTGAGGTCAGGAGTTCAAGACCAGCCTGGCCAACATGGTAAAACCCTGTCTCTACCAAAAATATAAAAATTAGCTGGGCATGGTGGCATATGCCTGTAATCCCAGCTAGTCAGGTGGCTGAGGCACAAGAATCACTTGAACCTGGGAGGTGGAGGTTGGGGTGAGCCAAGATTGTGCCACTGCACTCCAGCCTGGGCAACAGAGTGAGAAAAAAAAAAAAGAAAAAAAAAAGATGCTGCTTCTGGACTCAGTATGAAAGAGTGTGGTCATGGATTAGTGATGTCTGCCTCATGCATGGGAGGGGAGCACACAGAGTCAGATGCTGCTTCTAGGCTTAATGTGGAAGACTGCAGTCATCGATTAGTGATGTCTACCTCAGGCACACTAAGGGAGTACAGAGTCAGATGCTGCTCCTGGGCTTATCAAAAAAAGAGTACAGCCATGGATTAGCGATATCTGCCTCAGACATCACTGAGGAGGGGCAGTAGTAGCAAGAGGAGCCCTGCATTAGCATCTCTGATCTAATCCAACCAACCCCTTCATTCTATACACAGAGAAAGGCCCTCCATTGAAGAGACTGTGGTAATACCCTAGGAGGCACTGCTGGTAACCAAGCTTGAGGCTGTGCAGGTAGAGGTCCTCCTTGGTCCCCGCCTGCAGGCTGGAGAGGCGCAGGCCCACATAGATGCTGGGGTTCAGGTGCTCCGGGGAAAGCCGGTCCATCCAAGGCAAGAGGTGCTGGCCCAACTTCTCTACCAGATGGCTGTCCACCTCTGGTATTTCTTAGGAAAGAAAATGGTGCAAGTGAGGTCACAGGGCCAGGCCACCAGCAAAGAAGTGCTTTGACGTTACCAGGGCCTTCCCCAGGGAATACATGTCCTCACCCCCACCTCCATCCAGCACACACCAACTTGCAGGGGGAACTGCAGCCATACTGAAAGGCAGTGGGAGGGAAAAAGGAGGGAAGCATGTATCCCAAAAGAGCAGTTGGAGCCAGCCAGCGAAAGAGGTGGCAGGCTGAAGGTAGAGGATGCTATTGCCAGGCAACCACTCTGCCCATCAGCGGTGACGGTGAGACTGTATGCCAAGCTGTGGGGTGTGCCCAGGCACCTTGCCCAATCTCACTTGGTCCTCATGCCAGTCCTGTGATGTAGATACTGTCATCATTGCTTTGCACAAAAGAGGAAACAGAAGTTCAAAGTCATGTCATGTCTTACACAAGGCTGCAGAGCCAAGGATGGAACTAACTGCAAAGCCCCTGCTCTCTGGTGCCCTGCTGAATGTGTGCACTACCTGTTTACAAAAACATCGGCCCACATGCACAACATGTTACACATCAAATGTTCAAACAACACAGACTTCCAGCTGCTGAACTGAGGCTGCCTGGTGAACTTCCTCCATGAAGATCTCAAAATAATGCTTTTCCTGCTATCTCTGTTTAAGTGAAGAGGATCTGAGATTGTGAGATGAGCTCTTAGAAAACAGCCACAGCTTTTGCAGCCATTTACCTGTTGCAGTTGTATTTATTTGAAGCTGTGCAACCAAAATACTGAAACACCCTGGAAGTGGAAGCCTTACGGATAGTTCCAAGGGACCTGAGCTCAGCACAGGGTAGTTTAGAGTAGTTTGCCTTGGAGGCACCTTGGACTTTCTGTCCCCGTTTACTGCCTCCCAGTTGCTGCTGGGCTCCAGCTGCCTGATGGTGGCCTCCACTGTGCCATATCCCAGGGGACTAAGAAAAGGAGCTGTTGCAAGATGCCTCATCTGCCTCCTGGGCCTCCTGGTGCGAGGACCAGAGCTCCTAGAACACAGCTCCATCTCTGTGGGTTTGGGTCCCACAACCTCGTGTCTGTTTTCCCGACAGCTCCAGATATCTGTTGCTATAAGGTAGCCATCCACTAGCATGAAACCCTACATAATCCTTTGCTGTGTGGGCCCAGACCAGAGCACATGGCTGGTTTCTCACCAGATGTTAATGAAGAGAGACTGGGGGGTTGCTTTTTTCCCTTTCTCTCACTCAGAACCAATTTTGATGTCTATCTCCATTTCTCTGTCTCTCTCCCTCAATGTCTCTGAGGCTCTCTGGGTCTGTCTCAGTCTCCCCCAGCCTGTGTCCCTCTGGTCATCTGTGCCTCCTCACCTCTCTTTCCTTCTCCCTTTTCTTGAAACTCGCAAGGGAGTTCCCTGACCTCACCCTGGGCTCTCACCTCCAGCACGATTAGTCAGCACAGGGTTAGAAACTGAAAGACCAGGATCCAGCTGTAAAGGGAGAGACTGACAACCACAGAGCAGCCTCCTTAGAAGGAAGGGGACAGGCAGATTCACCTAGGGTAATAAAAGCAGCCCTGGGTGAGCTCTTGCCCTACCAGCCCAGCCAGGCCAGCTAAGGGCTGATTGCTGTTGACATTCACAAGCACAGGAGCCAGACAGAGTGGCTCATGCCTATAATACCAGCACTTTGGGAGGCCAAGGTGGGAGGATCGCTTGACCCTAGGAGTTTGAAACCAACCCCATGCAATATAGTGAGACCTCATCTCTATAAGAAAATTTTTTAAAAAAGAAGAAGAAGGAGAAAAGGAAGCACAGGAGCCCACTTTGCATTAGCGTTTGTGCAGTGATCCCTGTCAATTTCACAATACACACACAGAACTTTAAACTGGAAGAGCAGGTGTCATGGGATCCTCCCTTGTACTACACCAAGGAGGAAGGCAGGGGAGCATTCTTAGCCCATTTTACAGGTAAAGGAATGAGGCTGGGCGCAATCAAGTGACTCAGCACAGATATTTGCACCCCAAATCCCAGTTCAAGGTTCCCCAGACCCCAAGGGATGGGGGTTCCTGTGGGGTCAGGCTAATGGACTAAGTGTCCAAGGCTGAGGACCAGGCCAGCCAGGTCTGCAGGAGGGAAAGTTCTGGCTGGTTGAACCCAGAACTCCCCTGGGAAACTGTCCAGACATGAACCAAGAGCTGGGGTTCCTGGGCCCAGACCTGAGGAGTCTGATTTATTTATGGAACACAGATGAGAGGCTTGGAGTTCTGGCTGGGCACAGTGGCTCACGCCTGTAATCCCAGCAATTTGGGAGGCCAAAGCAAGAGTATCACTTGAGCCCAGGAGTTCGAGACCAGCCTGGGCAACATGGCGAAACCCTGTCTCTACAAAAAATACAAAAATTAGCCGAGCATGGTGGTATGCACATGTAGTCCCCAGCTACTTGGGAGGCTGAGGTGGGGGGATCACTTGAACCCGCGAGGCAGAGGTTGCAGTGAGCCAAGATCGTGCCACTGCACTCCAGCCTGGGCAACAGAGTGAGAACCTGTCTCAACAAAAAACAAAACAAAAAAAGAAAAGTTCTAAAAAACTAAGTTCAGCAAAGCTCTGGTAAAGGTGGAGCACCCTGAGCGAGTCACTCAGCCCCTCCAACCCTCGACTTCTTTACTTGACACCTGGATATGACTGCACCCACCTCTCAGGGTTTCCCCAGAGTTACAAGAGCCCACGGTGGTGAAAGTGTATTGCTGAGCATAATCCTAGGTGCAGAGGAGGGGAAAAGAGGCGTGGGCGGCCCAGAGTCCCGAAGCCTGCCTTCTGCCTCCTGTCTGAAGGAGCAGCCCTGAGCCTCTGAGCTCAGACTCACAGACAGGTCCCAGGAGACAGTGTGCTCCAAGAGACCCCTTGGGGCACAGAGCTGGAGCAGGCAGGACCTCTGAAGACTCACTTCCTGCTGCCTAGAATGTGTGTCCCCCACTCCTTTCCTGCCAGCTCCTTTTCTTCCTTCGAGTCTCAGCTCCCATGTTCCCTCTCGGTCCTCAGAAAGTCTTCCCCATGCCCAGCTATTTTTAAATTTTTTTTATTTTTTGTAGAGATGGGGTCTCCCTATGTTGCCCAGGCTGATCTCGAACTGTTGAACTCAAGCGATCCTCCCGCCTCAGCCTTCCAAAATGCTGGGATTTCAGGTGGGAGCACCTAACCATTGATTTCTTTTGTCTGTCCCCCTTCCCCAGAACACAAGCTCTAGGATGGCAGGAATTAGACTTGTCTCACGCCTTGCACATTCCCCAAAGGCTAACACTGGGCCTGACACAGAAAAGGCTCAGTAACTATGTGCTGAACGAATGTGTGAACTAAAGACTGAATTAACGGAGGAGATCTTGTCTGGTGAGGAGTCAGACATATAATCAGTCACAATACGATGTGTTAAATGCTGAGGTCCAGCTAAGTCCAAACTGCTATGGGAGCCCAGAGGGGCAGGTAAGTTCCCCCATCCTATGCCCCAGTCACCCTCCTAAGGACCCAGAAGGAACAAGGCACAGGACAGAGGCGAGTTACTCACCACAGATCTCAGCGAGGGCCCCCAGGACCCCCAGAAGGAAGAGGAAGGCCCCAAGGTGCCTCATGGCAGCAGCAGGTGGGTGAGCAGTGATCCGGAATCGGGAGAGACTCCTGGGGCTGGCCCTGCTGAGGCTCTCCTGACCACAGCCGGTCACCGCTCCGAGACAGGCAGCTTCCTGTCACTGATTAATCCTCCAGGCCTGCAATGCGCTGCTAAGTCAGCAGAGAGAGAGGGTGGAAAGGTCTGTGGTGGCAGGGAACAGAAGGCCAAAGAACAGAGGAAGGAAGGGCAGAGCAGCCCTCCTGGAGGCAGGGAACAAAGGGAGGAGGAGGGTGAGTGGGACCATGTGAGCCATCTTGAGGCCATCCACGTTCCTGCTTAAAGAGCCCGGGACTAGTGCAGAGGGCCTGACGTCTGATCTGCCAAGTCTGTCCGACCGTGCCTGTCTGCTGTCCCCTTAGCTGTTCCAGTGGTGGATCGGCAGGACCGGGTGCCTACCTAGTACTCCTTACAGAAGGAGCCCCTGGTAGTGCCCACCTAGCCCAGGACAAGGAGCAGAACGGGAGCTGCAGCTGCAGTGGTCACGTGAGCAGCACTGCTGGAGTCAGTTGTTTTTCAGCACCACCCCCCTTGGTGGTGGAGGAGGGGATTGCAGGGGTGGGGGAGTTGGGCAGTTTGGGGGAGGGAGGGGTGCCGCTGGCCCCAGACCAGCCCCGCCACTTTTCTCAACCAATCTGAAAGAGCTGGGAGCCTCCTGGAGAGAACAAAACAAAACAAGTTAAAGAATAGGATTAAGGCTGGGCACAGTGGCTCACGCCTGTAATCCTAGCACTTTGAGAGGCTGAGGCAGGCAGATCACTTGAGCCCAGGAGTTTGAGATTAGCCCGGGCAACATGGGGAAACACTGTCTCTACAAAAAAAAAAAAAAAAAAAAAAATTAACAGGGCGTGGTGGCGGATGCCTGTAATCCCAGCTACTTGGGGGGCTGAGGCAGAAGAATTGCTTGAACCCAGGAGGTGGTGGCTGCAGTGAGCTAAGATCATACCACTGCACTCCAGCTTGGGTGACAAAGTGAGACCCTGTGTCAAAAATAAAATAAAATAAAGAATGGGCCGGGCGCGGTGGCTCACGCCTGTAATCCCAGCACTTTGGGAGGCCGAGGCGGGCGGATCACAAGGTCAGGAGATCGAGACCACGGTGAAACCCCGTCTCTACTAAAAATACAAAAAATTAGCCGGGCGCGGTTGTGGGCGCCTGTAGTCCCAGCTACTCGGGAGGCTGAGGCAGGAGAATGGTGTGAACCCGGGAGGCGGAGCTTGCAGTGAGCCGAGATCGCGCCACTGCACTCCAGCCTGGGCGACAGAGCGAGACTCCATCTCAAAAAAAAAAAAAAAAAAAAAAAAAAGAATGAGATTGAATCAATTGAGACACAAAACTACCAGAAGCAGGGGTACTTGCCAGAACTAGGAAAGTAACGTCAAAAAAAATCCCTGCAGACAGGAAAGAGAACAAAAGATTCCTCATCTGCCCAGTCCCACAGGAGCATCAATGTATATGAGTTAACTAGTGGTGGCTGTGTGACCTTGGCCAGGTCACTTAACCTCTCTGAGTTTAAAATAGTTCTTCCTATGTGAGATGAGAGGGTTAGGCAAGATCATTCTAACAGTTCCCTTTCAGCTCAATTTGTGAAGACACTATGACCTTAAAATATCTCTAATCATTTGCATGTACAATCTGTATTGTAATTATTTTATGGCAAATTGCCAAGGTTCACTCTTTTATGACAATCTGTTTTTGAGCTTGACTTATCACAAACCAAGCTCTTGACATAAATAAATACAGCAACGTGCATCTGTTTACGGAAGTACCTGAAAATTTTAAAAGATAGGTTGTCCAGTCAGAAAGGCTAGATGTGGCCACTAGCAGGAGCACCCTTGGAGGTCCTGAGGAAGAGGGGAGGTCAGTGGGGAGCCCAGCTTCTGCAGAACCCCACGTTTGGACCTTCAGGGGAGCCATGGCGAAGTGTGTGCAATAGAGCCACCTTGGTCCTGGGTGGGACTGCCTTGGCTCCCCCAACCCTCCGCCTGTTTCCAGTAACAACAATTATGATTCCTGCTATTTCCAGGAGGGCAGCCTGGAGGAGGTGGCCATGGAGGTGGCCTTCGTATCGTCAGCCTCTGGTGAGAAGCAGCAGCATCTTTCCAGAGAGTCACTTCTGATCCCCAAGGTTGTGAGGGTGTCGAAGTAAAGGAGAGAGACACCCCCCTGCCTGCCTACCTGGACTCAGTGCCAGAGGGTGGGGGGAGTAGGAATAGGAGGACAGCACATTTCCCATACATGTTAGAAACAGAGTGACGGTGGCTCATGCCTGTAATCCTAGCACTTTGGGAAGCCAAGGCAGGGGATTGCTTGAGCCCACGAGTTTGAGACCAGTCTGGGCAAGATGGTGAGACCCTGATTCTACAAAAAAAAAAAAAATCACCAGGGATGGTGATGTGTGCCTGTAAGTCTCAGCTACTTGGGAGGCTACAAGTGGGAGGATCATTTGAGCCCGGGAGGCTGAGGTTGCAGTGAGCTGAGATCAGACCACTGCACTCCAGTCTCGGCAACAGAAGGAGACCCTGTCCTAAAAATAAAATAAAGCAAAATTTAAAAAAGAAATAGAGTGACTGGTCAGGGGTAGTGCTATTTTAGGTCATGTGGTCAGGGAATGTGAAAAACAAAAATGATTACATCATTTGCATCAGGATTTCTATTTTTTTATTTTTGAACTCCTGGGCTCAAGCGATCCTCCTGTTTCAGCCTCCCAAAGAGCTGGGATTACAGGCATGAACCACTGTACCTGGCCAGATCAAGATTTCTATTCGTGGTGAAAACTAGCTTGGAACGAGAAAGTAAAAGTCTGCCTGCGCTCCCACTAGACTAGGATAACACAGACCTCTAAAGCCAGCTGCAACATCAACAGGAAACATTTTTTTTTCTGTCTCTTTTTTTTTTTCTTTTTCTTTTTTTTTTTTTGAGACAGGGTCTCATTCCTGTTGCCCAGGCTGTAGTGCAATGGCACGATCTCGGCTCACTGCAACCTCCTCTTCCCAGGTTCAAGCGATTCTCCTGCCTCAATGTCTCGAGTAGCTGAGATCACAGGCTCTCGCCACCACCCCCAGCTAACTTTTGTATTTTTAGTAGAGACAGGATTTCACCTTGTTGGCCAGGCTGGTCTCAGACTCCTGACCTCAAGTGATCTGCCTGCCTTAGCCTCCCAAAGTGCTAGGATTACAGGCATGAGCCAGCACGCCTAGCCAACAGGAAACATTTCTATCAAGGCCATGCATGCTACAGCTGTAAAGTGTCCTAATACCTGTGTTCTTTGACTACTACTTTTTTACTGATATTTATATTTTTCCCCCTAAAATCACAAGCGATCAGAAATTTGCTGTTTGATATCCCGTTAGTAAGAATAGAACATCCCACTGTTGCCTGGAAGAGCTATGTCATTTTGACACAGAGAAGCAGTCTCAGATACGGTGTTTCTGGACTCAGCATTCCACATTTCTCTTAACTTTGTAGTTTCCAAGGAAGCAAGACTCTAAGTCCACTTTGCCATCCAGACCTGAAGCTGACCCTTCATACAGCGCCCTGTGATACTTTGAGCCTGCTTACCTCAAAACACTGCTTGCTTTACACTTCACCGGACTCCACCCTTCCCCTCAATTCTTTAATAGCCTTTCCTTGTGTTCAGCCGGATCACTGCAGTTCCTTTACTTGGTGGTTTCCCTCATTGGAATAGGTCAACTGGGTTTGTTTCTGGTGGTTTTAGGCTGACTTGGCTAGGACTAGCCTAATAATTAACCCAAAAGAGAAAAATAAAATTGAATGCATAAAGATGGCATGAGAAGAATGGATATAACAAATACACAATTCTGGTTCTATATGAAATATCTATTTTAGTGATTAAAAATGTATATATACGGCTGGGTGCAGTGGCTCAAGCCTGTAATCCCAGCACTTTGGGAGGCCGAGACGGGCGGATCATGAGGTCAGGAGATCGAGACCATCCTGGCTAACACACACACACACATAAATGTATATATATTAAAATCATATATTCATATATATATACACATATATATATATTTTTGAGACAGAGTCTCGCTCTGTTGCCCAGGCCAGAGTGCAGTCGTATGATCTCGGCTCACTGCAAGCTCTGCCTCCCGGGTTCACGCCATTCTCCTGCCTCAGGTTCCTGAGTAGCTGGGACTACAGGTGCCCGCCACCAAGCCTGGCTAATTTTTTCTATTTTTTAGTAGAGATGGGCTTTCATCCTGTTAGCTAGGATGGTCATGATTTCCTGACCTCGTGATCCACCCGTCTCAGCCTCCCAAAGTGCTGGGATTACAGGCGTGAGCCACCACGCCCGGCTTTATTAAAATCACATTTTAAGGCCAGGCGCGGTGGCTCATGCCTGTAATTCCAGCACTTTGGGCACCCGAGGCGGGTGGATCACCTGAGGTCAGGAGTTAGAGACCAGCCTGACCAACATGGTGAAATCCTATCTCTACTAAAAATACAAAAATTAGCCAGGCGTTGTGGCACGTGCCTGTGATCCCAGCTACTTGGGAGGTTGAGGTGAGAGAATCGCTTGAACCTGGGGGCCGGAGGTTGCAGTGAGCCAAGATCATGCCATTGCATTCCAGCCTGGGTGACAGAGCAAACCCCTGTCTCAGAGAAAAAAAAAAAAAAAAAAAAACAGAAAGAAAGAAAGAAAGGAGGAAGAGGAGAAGGAGAAAGAGAAAGCAAAGATAAAGAAAATCATTTTTAAAATCCCATCAACTAGAGCATTGGTTCCCAACTGTGGTCACTGGATGACTGGTAGTCTCCAAGACCCTTTTAGGGGGCCTGCGAGTTTAAAATTACTTTCAAGGGGCTCGGCACGGTGGCTCATGCCTGTAATCCCAGCACTTTGGGAGGCCGAGGTGGGCGGATCACCTGAGGTCAGCAGTTTGAGACCAACATGGCAAAACCTGGTCTCTACTAAAAATAAAAAATTAGCTGGGCATGGTGGCAGGCTCCTGTAGTCCCAGCTACTTGGGAGGCTGAGGCTGGAGAATTGCTTGAACCCAAGAGATGGAGGTTGCAGTGAGCCAAGATTGCACCACTGCACTCCAGCCTGGACAACAGAGCGAGACTCCTTCACAGACACACACACACACACACACACACACAAAATTACTTTCAAGGTAAGACAAATAGTAAGACATTATTAGTGTAATAGTAAGACATTTCATCAAATGGTGCAGGAACAATTGGATGTCTATATGCAAAACAAACAAATCAACCTAGACATATACCTTTTACAAAAAATTAACTCAAAATAGACCTAACTATGAAACACAAAACTATAAAACTTCAAGAAGAGGTGATGACTTTTTAGATACAACACCTAAGGCATGGTCCATGAAAGAAATAATTGTCTGGATGCAGTGACTGGGTGCAGTAACCTCCAGCACTTTGGGAGGCCAAAGCAGCAGGATCACTTGAGGCCAGGAGTTTGAGACCAGCCTG